ATCCACTCATCTCAGCCTCCCAAGGCGTGGGATTACAGGCTGAGCCACCAAGCCCGGCTAGGTCTTTTAATTTTTAAATGCTCAAAGTTTGTCCTAGTGTCAGCACATGGAATGGAATGATCAGGAAGCAAAGCTGCAGGAACCGTTTTTTCTCACAGTTATTTTATATCCTCCCAGATGGCAAAACTTGTCTGGTTATCCCCATGCCTCGGGGCTTCGGGCTGACAAATGCTACTGATGAATACAGTTACTCGGCTTACAAAAACATTCATCAGTATTTTGAGCTATTTAGAAACAACAGACGATACTTGATGGCTTCTCCAGCAGATTATCTACTTTTATCTCCTATATCAGAATACTTCCTAATTTGTCATCTTTAAAATAAGTAAGACATTGTTGGCAATCCACAGATGTTCCATATTGTAAATGTTTTTGTGGAGTCATTTGCCTACATTAAATAAATTAGAGTAAATAAGCCATGTCCAAATATCTTCAGTCTCAGGTCCTCACAAACGCTATACCCTCTTGCCAGTCATTTCTCACAATTGCTTAAAGCAATTCCAATAATCAAAATATGGGATAATAGTCATGTTGCCAATAATGGAACTTAAACACGTAAAAATTTTATGGTGATATGAGAAACTTAGCAGTCCTTATAGGAAGAAAAGTAATTCTAGTGTATTTCTGAGAGGAAACATGATTAGTAATCTCTTAGCACAATACTTAAGATTGTTTGTTGCTTATACAGTAAGTCCTTAGTGTTATCTATAGGTTCTTGGAAACTACAACTTTAAGCAAAACAATGTATATCACACAACTATTTTTTTCTTATATAACAAAATTTTTCCCCTATCAACATTATAATGAAATTACCTTGAAAAACGAGTTATTCAAGGCCCCCCCGGTAGTTTGTTTGGCTTAAAGTCGCAGTGTCCAAGAACTGATCAATAAGATTAGGAGAGACCTTATGTACTTTGTTGGGATGACTTTATAGCCCAGACTATGTGCTGGGACACTAACTGTACCAGTTCAGACTGCCAAGAGTTCTCTGTTAAGTGGCAAATTAAGGCTGGGTGCAATGGCTCACACCTATAATCCCAGCACTTTGGGAGGCCAAGGTGAGAGGATTGCCTGAGCCCACGGGTTTGAGACCAGCCTGGGCAGCTTGGTGAAACTTCATCTCTACAATAAATCAAACAATTAGCCGGGTGTAGTGGCGCATGGCTGTAATTCCAGCTGCTTGGAAGGCTGAGGCGGGAGGATCACCTGAGCCCAGCAGGTTGAGGCTGCGGTGGCTGTGAGTGTGCCACTGCACTCCAGCCTAGGCAACAGAGTGAGACTCCAAGTCAAAAAAAAATCTTTTTAAATAAAAATAAATAAGTAAATAGCAAATTAGAGTCACTGATTTCCCTCAGACAGAAGTAACTTCCTTTACTTTCAAGAAGATGTGAAACATATTTAATACTGTCCTTCTCCATGATTTAAGATGTTGTATATTCTTAAGACTGACACTCTATGAACAGAAGAAATCCTTCCACTGCAGTAATATCTCTGTTAAATATTTTTGAAACCCACCTCACCTCAATTCTTGTTGGAAACAGGGTATGAGCGAATAGATAAGTTAGATAAGTTATGCATTAGATTAGTCAGAGATGGAACTAGTTCAGTGGAGATACAGTAAGTCTTTGCCAGATTGTTTTCAAAGAAAAACCCAGGGAATGCAACCAGTTACCACAAGCAGCTCGTTTAAATGAGATCAGTCAGCCCCCATAAAAAACAAAGTTTGAAGGAAAGAACAGTGTCTGTGTTCCTATGCTGCTCCGCACATGTATACAGGGATACAATTGTAGCTTCAGATAAAAGAGCGAGCAAGCCGGGCTCGGTGGCTCAGCCTGTAATCCCACACCTTTGGGAGGCTGAGGTGAGTGGATTGCCTGAGCCCGCGGGTTCGAGACCCGCCTGGGCAGCGAGACCTCATCTCTACAATCAATTAAAAAAATCAGCCGGGCGTGGTAGCGCGCGCCTGTAGTTCCGGCTACTTGGAAGGCTGAGGCGGAAGGATCGCCGGAGCCCAGCAGGTCGAGGCTGCGGTGGCCGGGAGCGGCCACTGCACTCCAGTCTGGGTGACCGAGTGAGACTCCAACTCAAAAAAAGAAAAAGAGCGAGCAGAGTGCCATCTTGTGGCCTGAACAGCAAGCATCTTTCTCCAAAGCCATGCATTTACTCTAGAAGCTTTACACTGAATTTTTTTTTTTTTTTTTTTTTTTTACCTGGGCAACATCTATGTAATTTATCAGGTCCAGTGGCCCTTCAAGAACTTTTCCCTCAGAGAGTTTCAGTTTCTCAATGGCACCAACATATTTTATTCGAAATTCTGCACAGGTATCTGAATTATGGTTGCTTTGTCCTAAAGGTGAAAGAAAAGTTACAGATAGTAAGATTTCAAAAGAAATATCTGTATCACAGGGTATCCTCACTCCCTTGCCAAGTAAAAAATAGACTGTGTCATTATAACACAACCATTAGTTACGAATTTTTTATAAGGCAAAACCTGCTTGGTCTAATGGGGAAAAACTTAAGTCTCACTAATCTTTTTCCTCGGTGACTCACAATATACTAAATGTATGAAGGTCTCGATAATAGGAATACATTAATGTTAATAACCTTCATTTCAAAACAAACTGGGAAAACAAGGTCCACTAGATAATGATTACCTATATAATGCATAAGGATATTTAATTGTTTATTGGTTTCTTCTCTCTCTTCACCATATTAACTTTCCTGATTCAGGAAGCCTGTTTTCCCCCTACTATTCAGTCAGAAAAGACCACACGATTTTTTTTAAATGTAGATGAAATAATGCCAGGCAGGAAGTCCCTGATATCAACAGGTTGAAGAACTATGTGTAGAAAATCCAGCCAGTACAAAAATTACCACAAACTACTTAGGATAGCTACCATGTTAGGGAAATACTATGTGATTACTTTCAGGTTTTCCACTATAAAAAGATACCCACGTCTTTAATATTTTTAAGACATCTGGAAGTAAAGATAATGGACTTTATGCTACAACATTTGTTAAACAGTGACTAATCTAGGATCGTGAAGGGAAAAGCAGGACTTTAGACAAGAAAACAGACTAGGCACCAACCAGCTACTTATGCAGCCTGGGTTGGAAGCCACCTTTTGATTTCTAAGGCACTACTAATTTGGGGCAGCTGCAAGGGTCCTTGACACATACTGCCCTTGATTACTTGTGCTCCTGGTGGTCATGAGCTAGTGCATCTCGGGGTACCTCGGGGTAAATGGCTCCTTAACCCTTTAATCACCGAGGCTTTTGTCCTATTCCTCATAAGCAACACAAGTCCAGTATAATTCATCCTCTGCCACCCCACTTTTGCAAAAACTATTGTGAGATTTCTAAATCATTGCCACACAATGTTTTCAAGCATTTTTGCTATAGGACCCATTAAGAGCAGTTGGCCCACATGCCTAAGCCAACCCCAAAGGCAACAGTTTCACTAAGCATACCACACCACACCCTCAACCCATGTCCCAATAAAGCTCAGTCCACTTCTAAACTCTTGTCAAAAGTAGCAGAGGAAGCTGGGCTCGGTGGCTCAGCCTGTAATCCCGTGCCTTGGGAGGCCAAGGTGAGTGAATTGCCTGAGCCCACGAGTTCGAGACCAGCCTGGGCAACTTGGCGAACCTCATCTCTACAAGAAATCAAAAAATTAGCTGGGCGTGGTAGCGCGCGCCTGTGGTTCCAGCTACTTGGAAGGCTGAGGCGGAGGGATCGCCGGAGCCCAGCAGGTCAAGGCTGTGGTGGCCGGGAGCAGCCACTGCACTTCCAGTCTGGGCGACAGAGTAAGAGACTCCAACTCAAAAAAAAAAAAAGTAGCAGAGGAGAGGAACAAATTCGCAAACATACAAGAACTCGTGCTATGCCAGTAAAACCGTGTATACATAAACAAAGCCTTAGACAGTAAATGATCCGACACTTTCATGTACCTGAACTTTTGGTGGAATCTGTGTCAAGGCTGGCCACAGTGCTGGATCGTGAAAGACCCCCAAGGCTAGAATCTACAGACTGAAAAATAAAAAAACAAATCAACGAAAGCCCACACGTAATGAGAAGCCCTGTCTTCTTTTACGTTCTCTAGCAAGTCCATTCAAATTATTTATTATAGTTGAACTGACACATACACAAAACCAGGGCAATTATTCAGACCGACTGTGAGAGATTTTTCTTGGCAAATTATATAAAAAACATCAAAAAACCCCCACATAGTCCCAACTGCTCTTCCCATTACACAATGTTTAAATGTGGCAGCAACATTCTTAGTCTAAATCTAAGCTATTACCTCTACCTCCTTACACGATGCCTTATATTAATACCCTTTGTGAAAATCTACACCTTGCATTCACATTATTTTCACCGAACCCAAAACTAACCCTGTGCAGAAAGCCAAACAGGGACTATTATCCTTTTTAATAAATGGGAAAAGAGACCAGACACATGAAGTGATTTACCCAATATCACATCTAGTAAACAGATCTCAAAACTAAGTCTCCTAGTTCCTATTCCAGTGCTTCTGCAGTTATTCAAACTAGTACCTGACCTGCCACAATAATGCAGAGGCCAACTGGCAGAACAGCAGAATTATCCATGTGAATTGCCAAAAACAAAAAACAAAACAAAAAACCTGTGGGGCAAAATACAAAGAATCACACATGAAAGTGTAGTTTGTTCCAAAGAACTATGCTTTCAATATGCTCAATTTCCTTAGAAATAATATTCGGGGCCAGGCTCAGTGACTCAGCCTATAATCCCAACACTTTGGGAGGCCAAGGCAAGAGGACTGCCTGAGCCCATGGGTTTGAGACCAGCCCCGGCAACTTGGCAAGACCTCGTCTCTACAATAAATTAAAAAATCAGCCGGGTGTGGTGGCACATGACTGTGGTTCCAGCTACTTGGAAGCCTGAGGTGGAAGGATCGCCAGAGCCTAGTAGGTTAGGAGTGCGATGGCCATGAGCATGCCACTGCACTACAGCCTGGGTGACAGAGTGAGACTGACTCAAAAAAAAAAAAAAAAAAAAAAAAAAAAAAAATTAGAGAGCTTGAAAGGGTGGAAAATAACAGAAAAGACTCTTTAGTAATGACATTGCAGGAACCACGGGACTAGGTCATCTCCCAAGCTTCCTTCAAATTCAAATACTTTACTCCTCTAGGATTCTGATCACAGCATTGCATCCAACTAGCCTACCTGACTCAGTCTCCATCTTCTTGTCTATAACTGGGATGTCTAACCATCTTCTTCCTATGGCATAGTCTGCCTATACTTTTTTTTCTTTTGAGTTGGAGTCTCACTCTGTTGCCCAGGCTGGAGTGCAGTGGCATGCTCACAGCTACCACAACCTTGACCTGCTGGGCTCAGGTGATCCTTCTGCCTCAGTCCTCCAAGTAGCTGGAACTACAGGTGTGCACCACCACACCCATCTAATTTTTTATTTATTTATTGTAGAGAGGAGGTCTTCAAGTCGCCCAAGCTGGTCTCAAACCCCTGGGCTCAGGCAATCCTCTAGCCTCTTCCTCCCAAAGTGCTGGGGTTACAGGTGTGAGCCACCATGCCAGGCAGTCTACCTGTACATTTTATGGCCTTTTCACTTCCCACTTTTTTTTTTAAGACTTGTGTGATGATTAATTTTATATGTCAACTTAGCTTGGCTAAAGTACCCACACATTTGGTCAAATGCAAGTCTAGATATTACTGTGAAGGTGTTTTCTTTTTTTTTAGAGAGATGAACATTTTTACTAGTAGACTTTTAGTAAAGTGAGGACGCACCATAAAGTGGTGGACCTCCTCCAATCAGTGGAAATTCCTGAGAGAAAAAGACTGAGGTCCCCTGAGGAAGAGAAAATTCTGCATCCAGACACCCCGCCAGACACAAGCTGCCGTATCAGCCCCCTGGGTCTCCAGCCTGCCAGTCTACCCTACAGGTTTCCAAGTTGCAGCCCACGCAATCACACAGGCCAGTTTTCTAAAATAACTCAATCTCTCTCTCTCGGACATAAACACAACCTACTGGTTCAGTTCCTCTGGAAAAACCCAACTGATACAAGTTCCTTCACCACTTTAGCCCTGTGACCTCCCATTCTTTGAATTATTCAAATAATATTTGTCATTATACCACACAACTTCACATTTTCTTGGTTATTATACTGTGCCTGGGTATTAATCACGTCTCCAATGGTATCTGAAACACCTGGAAGGAATTCATTTTCTTTGCTTCCCATAGGACCTAGAACAGTGCTAAGCACTATGGACAAACATTAACAAGAATCAACCTATATGCCAAACGGCTTGATCACAGGGTAGTACCTACTCCCCCAAATGTCTCTATACTTAACAGGAAGGCCTGAAGAAGTAAGTTGTGTGAATGTGCTTTCCACTTTATAAGGCACCCCAACCAACTGTTGTTGTCATTGTGAGGGTTTAAGCTGGGATTCCTCTTTCTCATATTCCACAACCAAGCTCAACAGGCCCTGTGAGTGCTCATCTCGAAATTTCTAGAATCCAAGCGCCCCTCACTGCTTCCTTCACACCCATCTGATCTCTCTCAGGTTATTACAATATCTTCCCAGCTGGTCTCTCTGCTCCTGCCCTTGCCCCACTTGCAGTGGCCAAAGTGACACCAGTTAAACTCACTTAAGTTTCTGCCACTCCCTTGCTCCAAATGCCCCGATGCTTTCCTTCTCTCTCTCTCTTTTTTTTTTTTTTTTTTTTGAGTTGGAGTCTCACTCTGTCTCCCAGGCTGGAGTATAATGGCACACTGCTCACAGCCACCGCAGCCTTGACCTGCTGGGCTCAAGCGATTCTTCCACCTCAACCTTCCAAGTAGCTGGAACAACAGGTGTACACTACCACGCCTGGCTAATTTTTTTTATTTATTGTAGAGATGAGGTCTCACCATGTCGCTCAGGCTGGTCTCGAACCCCTGTGCTCAGGTAATGCTCTCACCTCTGCCTCCCAAAGTGCTGGGATTACAGGCATGAGCCATCACACCCGGTACTTTCCTTCTCTGGCAGAGCAAAAGCCCAGCTCTTCACAATGGCCCACAAGGCCCCTATCCCAGCCCCGCCCAGCCCACCACTGGTCTCCCTGCTGGTCTCCCCACAGTCCCTCAGTCCCTCAACCATTACACCCCTTCCTCTGGTCTTTGCTCACTCTCCCCTCCCTGACCCACTCTCCCTCTAGATCTCATCACAGCTCCTTCTCTAGGTCTCTGCTCAAATGCCATCTAGAAAATCAAACCTGGGGCAACCCCATTGGGTCCCCTCCCACTAAGGGAGCTTCTCTGTCCTCTCAATAAATCCTGCTTTCTCACTTAAAAAAAAGAAAATCAAACCTTCCCTAACCAGACTGTTAAAAACTGCCTCACTGTCAGCCCACCACACCTCTCCATTCCTGTAACTTCTTCCTCCCACACGAGTTTTCACCATCTGACATTGTATTTCACCTATTCATTCATTATTTTCTCCCCCAACTGGAACAGACACTCTGTGAGGTCATGGATTTTTTTTTTCCCTCTAACTATTCCAATCCCCTGAACCTAAAACAGTGCTCAATAAATATTCACTGAATGAATGAGTTTTCATATGTCACTGTCCAGGAGGTGGAAAACAATGCTATTCTTCTAAACAACAAAAGTGGTATAAAAAACCTAAAATTCTTAGGATAAATATAATTCAGCTATCATCATTATAATCTTATATTGGAAAATTCTGTCAGAAAGAAATCACCCTATCCTTTCAATAGGAGACTGAAGTGTCAATTGAACAGGTCTTCCAAGGTTTGTTTTACATAAATTAAATCTATGCTTACCTTCAAACAACATTCAAAAAGTCTCTGGTTCTTGTCAATGGCACTTTTTTTTTTTTTTTTTTTTTTTGAGTTCAAACTCAAACTCAGCCTGTTGCCCAGGCTGGAGTGCAGTGGCACGCTCATGGCCACCGCAGCCCCAACCTGTTAAGCTCAGGCGATCCTTCCGCCTCAGCCTTCCAAGTACCTGGAACTACAGGCAGCACTACCATGCCCAGCTAATTTTTGGATTTATAGTAGAGACGCGATCTCACCAAGTTGCCCTGGCTGGTCTCGAACCCCTGAGCTCAGACAGTCCTCTTGCCTTGGCCTCCCAAAGTGCTGGGATTACAGGCTTGAGCCACCGTGCCCGGCCGGCAATCTCACTCTTAAGTAAAACAGTTATGCACATCACAAATCCTAGAATTCAGAAGATCCAGCCCCTTAATACCTGCAATTTCTATCACTTAAAAATTTTTTTAAATGAGTGCTTATTTCAAGGAAGTCATGTCCCACCTGGCTTAATGAACTTAAGAATTTCAGAAAACACACCAAAACAAAATAAAATTAAAACAAGCCACAATGTATCTCTAGAACACACACACAAAATGAATGTTAAAACACATGTAGTTTGAAGAATATCAGGAGGCCTGCCTGCCCATCGTTAGTATCCTCCAGGAAGTAATAAAACAAAATTATCACTGGTTTATGATTCTGTTCCAATTCCATTTCTCCTACCTTGCTCTTAGTACTGATTTCGCTACTTTGGGAACTGCTACTACTGTGTCGTTTTTTGCCTTTCCGAAACATTTTTCACCATAGCGTTATCCAGAGATGATCCCCTGGAAGAACAAATATTGGTAACTGTTACATAATGAAGAGCAACTTTAAATCACTTTATGCTTAATAAGAATAACAAAATCAGCCGGGCTCGGTGGCTCAGCCTGTAATCCCGCACCTAGGGAGGCCAAGGTGAGTGAATTGCCTGAGCCCGCGGGTTCGAGACCCGCCTGGGCAACTTGGCAAGACCTCATCTCTACAATAAATCAAAAACTTAGCCGGGTGTGGTAGCGCACTCCTGTAGTTCCAGCTACTTGGAAGGCTCAGGTGAAAGGATCGCCGGAGCCCAGCAGCTCGAGGCTGCCGTGGCCAGGAGCGGCCACTGCACTCCAGTCTGGGTGACAGAGTGAGACTCTGACTCAAAAAAATAAAAATAAAAATAAATAAAAAATAAAATAAAATAAAGAATAATAAAATCATCAGTTCCTTCTAGTCATTTTAGCTAAACCATATAAATATTTTCCCTTGAATGCTATTCTTTTTCATTCTTTTCTAGCAAATTACAAAACGCTATCCCAGAATGCTACCCCAGTAAACCAAAAAGGGAGAAACCTATATAGAGATGTGTAAAGCACTTTTCTCCTAAGTCTCAGGCACACGTCACCTAGTTCTCAAAAAACTTAAGTGCCTTACTTTTGGTTTCTCAGTGGAGATTCACTGACTGTCACAGAATCACACTCTGTACTTGGTAAGGCTAAGACATACACACCTCTCAGAAATGTGCATTTTTCTTAAAGTCTTAAAATATCTTTAAGTAAAAGCCTACACCTCCCAGCTCCAGTAAGGACAGGTGAGGAGGTGATGCTATTTCCCAGAGTCTGTCGAACATCTTTTTAAAAAAAAATTAATAATTAATGCCTTAGAAACATACGCTGCATCCTTGCCCATTTCATAGGGCACATATATTGTACTTGGAAAGTTAAGCAACCCGCATGATGCTTCAGAGCCCACAGAACTTGCAACAGTTATCCTGTCACGATATCCTCATGACAACCTTGCAATGCATTCACTTGCTGTACTGCGTGCGACACACTGTGTGGGGCTCCAGGCCTTCCCCTCAAGGGGATCCCAGAAGGCAGGTATAATCTGTCTTTTATAGATGAGAGAGCTGTGACCCACCTTTCAAGAGGATTTATGAATAAAAGAATCTAAAAAACTGTTTACCAAAAAATGAATTCTACAGAGGGAACCAGGAATTATCTGCTTACTATAGAATCGGACTCTATTTTACTGTCTTCAAAGATGCCATAGACAGCAGTCTGCATAGATGCTGTCCTTTCAGTCTGACATGGTCACTACTTTTCAGAGAAACAATGTACCTGGTGAAGGAAAAAGAACGAGTAAATCATGGAGTACTCAATGAAAACCCCTACTCCAATTCAAAGTTTCTCTCCTATTTGGAGCCTCTCTAAATGCACTCACTGGGGGATGGATGACCTTTGACCACTTACCCAAGTCTGAGTCCTGAGTCCAAACTTTTTCATCAGCCCCATCATCCAATTTATTTCTATACCTTTGTCTTCCTTGTGGGATAGCAAGAATATCTGACACTTTCATTCATTACAGAATAGTTAGTGAGCATCTCCTGGGTGCAGGGGAGACATCAGTGAAAAAAACAAAGTCCCTGACCTCAAGGAGCTTATTTTTAGAGGAAGTAGACAAACCAACAAGAACAACAAATATAAAATGTACCACAAGGAAACAATTGCTATGAGGAAAACTAACATAAGTTAAGAGATACGGTGTGATTGAAGGAAGGCATTTTTAGATAGAAAAAGACGCTCTGAGAAATCGAGAGTTAAGGTGACCTGAGTGAAGTATGGCCACTCAGAAATTGATGTGGAAGAAACAGCATGGAGGTGAGAGGAAGGCCAGTATAAGGGCCCCAGGGAGCATGCAGAGACAAGGAACAGCAGAAGGCCAATAAATTGGAAGCCAGAGAAGTGTGATGGACAAGAAGAGAGAGCTACAGAGGGCCTGGCAGGCCATGGACACAGTGTGGGCTTTATTTTGGGTTTAACAAGGAAGACTCTGGAGGCTTTTTAAAAAGCAGGCAAGTGGCCGGGCTCAGTGGCTCGGCCTATAATCCCAATACTTTGTGAGGCCGAGGCTAGTGGATTGCCTGAGCCTGTGAGTTCGAGACCCACCTGGGCAACTTGGTGGGACCTCATCTCTACAATAAATCAAAAATTAGCCAGGCGTGGCAGCGTGCACCTGTAGTTCCAGCTACTTGGAAGGAAGTCTGAGGCGGAAGTATTGCTGGAGCCCAGCAGGTTGATGCTGGGATGCCATGAGTGTGCCATGGCACTTCAGCCTGGGTGACAGAGTGAGACTCCAGCTCAAAAAAAAAAAAAGCAGGCAAGTGACATGATCAAATTTCTGTTTCTAAAACAAAGACTGCCTTCCAGGTAGGAAACTAACTCCATAGGGCAAGAATAAAAAGAGAGAGACTACCAGGAGTTTGAGACCAGCCTGGGCAACATGGGAAGACCTCACCTCTACAGGAAAAAAAAAAAATAGCCAGGTGTGGTGATGTCCATCTGTAGTCCCAGCTACTCAAGAGGCTGAGGTAGAAGGATCACCTGAGCTCAGGCAGTCAAGGCTGCAGTGAGCTGTGATCGTGTCACTGCACTCCAGCCTGAGCAAGACCCTGGCCATAGAGAGAGAGAGAGAGAGAGAGAGAGAGAGAGAGAGAGAGAGAGATAATAGAAGGCTACTGCCAATAAGTTGTTACAAAGGGTAACCATACCATCACAGGATACTAGTCAATGAGGGAGATGACAGGAGAGCCTGACTCCATGGTCTGCACAAAACTGGTTTAACTTAGCAGCATTAAGTGCCATGTTAATAGTCTCTGACAGGTTAAAATGTTGGGATATAACATATTTAAGCACCTTATATTTAAGCATATATAAATGCACATTCATATATAGGTAGCAATTTTAAATAGGATTTAAAAATAAAATTTGATTCTACTGCTAGTGGAATCCTGAAGCATCTCCTCAAATCCCTTGAACATTAGAATGATTTGAAAATCATTACACTCTAATGCCTTTGCAACTCCTTAAGACTTTCTTTTCATCATCAATTCAGGAGCTTAGGAAAAAGCAGCATTTATTAAAGCCCTTGACATCTGCTGCTAGTTTGATGTATGTTCTCAAGCAAGTCATTCTTGCCTCGGAATTATTCATGCATAAAAATGAGGCCAATGACACTGATTGTCACTTGGATGTGCCACAGGCTCATCCGATGCAAAAATGCTTCAAACAGAACCCATCATCCTCCCCTCCAGATCTGCCTCTCTCATCTCCTCACCCTCTCAGGAAATTATATTATTGCTAGGCCAGGTGTGATGGCTCAAGCCTGTAATCCCACCACTTTGGGAGGCGGAGGCGAGAGGATTGCCTGAGCTCAGAGGTTCAAGACCAGCCAGGGCAACTTAGTGAGACCTTGTCTCTATAATAAATCAAGAAAAATTAGCTGAATGTGGTGGTGCACGCCTCTAGTTCCAGCTACTTGGAAGGTTGAGGCAGAAGGAATGTCTGAGCCCAGCATATCAAGGTCGTGGAGGCTGTGAGTGTGCCACTGCACTCCAGGCCTGGGCAACAGAGACTGATTCAAAAAAAAGAAAAATTACATTATTGCTGGTGGAACCAGGAATCATCAATCCCTCACTGTCCTTCAGCACCCACTTCCAATCAAGCACCAAAACCCAAGGAACACTCCACTTGAAGAGCTCTCTAACAGGACCCACATTGTTACTACACTGTTGGCATGTACAATTATTTTCTTAGTATCTGATGAACGCAATGGATCCTCAACCTACAAAAATGCACATAAACACAAAGTTTGGCATGCAATCTAAGGAATTCATTAATCTGAAGATATTTCACAGATAAGGGACTTATTCTACTGGAGGGCCCCCTGGCAGTGGACATGCTTAGCGAACCTGAGGATTTTCTTGGGAGGTTTCATCCAAATAGCAATTCCCATGAACTAAACACCTTGTCCGGGTCACTTTAAATCTACCCCTTCAGCCAAATGATGAAAATTTCTTTCCAATGTAAATGAGTTGCCACTTTAAATCATTCACTGGTTCCCCAAAGTCAGAGACTGAAGTCAAAGCGCTTCAGCAAGTCATGCCAAGTCCTCCACTACCGAACTCCATCCACCTTCCAGTCTCCTCTTCCACAGCCTGCAGCACACTTAGTTAATCTCAGGAAGGGAAAGCTGCTCACCGTCCTCATCCGGCACTATGCTCCACGCTCCCTTGCTTTCCTAAGCTCCCTCTGCCTTTTAGTCACCTGGCAACCTCGTACCTTTCAAGCCTTCAGGCTCATTCTTTTCTAGAAAGCCTTCCTTGAACCTCCAGGTTGGGCTAGGGGACCCACAGCTGCAGTGCACATCCTGATCACAGCATTACGATCTGCTATGGTCTCCTTACAACTCTCTCCCTCTCCAAAGCTTGTTAAAGGCAGAGCTGGGTATCGTGTCTGCACACCCAGTGAACAGCACCGCCTGGCAGGGGACAAGCTTCAAGAACCTGAGAACTTTCTTGGGAGACGACACTCAAATAGCAATTCCCACGCACTAAACACTTAACCACCTGTCACCCTCACTGAGCATCAAGGTTGTAGTAGGACAGTCCCGTGCAAATGAGGCCACCTCAGCGCTAGGAGAGTCCCTTGGCCTGCCTACGGTCACCAGGCTAAGAACGCATGGGGCTGAGTTTGGGACAGAGACAGAACTGGCTCCAAGGTCCTTCCCAGATGCCAGCCTGCTTCGCATAGGTCACCGTGATGGAGTGCCTGCCACGTGCTCAGTGCGAGGGCGCGACGGTAAAGGAGGCAGCCGCAACCCCTACCCTAAGGCGTGGGGGAGGCGCTTGACGACTCGCCTTCCCCTCCCGGGCCAGACTCAGAGGATCCGGCCTAGGAAGCCCGGGCGTGGCTCGGGATGCTGCCATCCGCGTCGCCCACATCCAGCTGGCAGATCCAGACTCGCCCCCACCCCCAGCGGCCCGTCCGGAATCGGGCACCAGGGCATCCTTCCCTCCCTGGGGGCCGCTCCTCGGCTTCCACGCCGCCCGCCCGCGTCCGCCTCCCGGGTCTCGGCGGGGCGGGGAGAAAAGCGGGTCCCCGTGGACACTGCGGATTCCCCCACAGCCCCACCCATCCGTCCCGACAGTCGACGCCGCCCTTGGGGCCGCGTTCTCGCCCGGTTTCTGCGAGCTCGACCCCGGGTCGGGGTAAGGGCCAGGCGCTCACCTCGCGGCCGCGGCCCCAACCGTGGGGCTGCCTGCGCTTCGGTCAGAGTTGGAGAGTCCCAGCCACCCGCGCCTGGGCAGCTACTCCAATTCCAATTCCAGCGCCAGCTTTTCCAGCCCTCCTTGCCTCGTCCGCCGGGTCCCGCCTCCGAGACTCTGCGCAGGCGCGATCCTGACGGCCTGCCCCAGGTTCCCGGACTCAGTGTAGTGAGAAGCTACGCGGGCCGGGTTCTCCGGCCGGAAGTCGAGGGGCGGAGCCAAGGGCCGCGGGCGGCAGAGTGCCGGAAGTTATGCTCAGGGTGGGTGGGTTCTTTACTCTTTTTCCCCGTGGCTGTTCTCCTACTTTAGAAAGACCCCGGCGACCTGTTTCTCAGCCCCAACTCGCCCTCAGACTGCCAGATGTCTGCGATTCCTGCTGAGGAGAGCGACCAGCTGCTGATCCGACCCCTGTAAGGGACCGGCGAGAGAGGGAATGAAGTCACAGGCTGTGGGAGAGGCGAGGAGGGGTGACGGGGAGGTCTGGCCTGCTCCGTCATCCCCTACTCCAACATGCCTCTACAGCCTGCCCGTGGGCCGCGGCTGCGAGCCAGGCAGGCCTCTCGGGCTCAAGGGGCTTGGAGAACTGTTGATCAGAAGCGGCCTGCTAGGCCGAATGGGATTTTGCTTTCTCATCAGTTTCCGGGGAGGGTATGTTGGAGTTAGGGGGGGAAAGAGGTTTCCGGGGCCACTGGGCTCTTTCCTATATGCTAAAAAGGGTTGTCTATTAGCATAAACGCGGTCTCTGCGCATCAGGGTAAGCCATGAGGAAATCAGTGGTGCTGATGACAGGATGAGAGGAGGACCTGAACGAGGCTGTAACAGTGCAAGGAAGAAGCAGATCTGTTTCTTAATACCTTCAGGACTTAACATGTGGCAGGAAGTGAAAGAGAAAATATTAGAGACTTGCTGCGAGTTTCGACCATCTAAACTGAGATCCTAGCAAAATAAGGAAGGTGAGAAGTTGGAGAGGAGAAGTGTAGAGGTGTTAAGGACAGCAGCTCGGCCCTTGATTGTCCTTAAGGAGACTGGTCTTTCAGAGGGATGGCCTTCAACATTCTGGAAGGCTGCTTCAGGGGAGATATAAATGTGGAGAACTTGAACCCCTATAGATGAGCAATTCAAATCCACAACATAGTCGGCTGTGTTAGTGCGCCTGAAGTTCCCGCTACTTGGAAGGCTGAGGCGGAAGGATCGCCGGAGCCCAGGAGGTCGAGGCTGCAGTGGCCGTGAGCGTGCCATGGCACTCCAGCCTGGGTGACAGAATGAGACTCCAACTCAAAAAAAAAAAAAAAAATCCACAACATTTGTTTATTGGTGGGTATTAGTTGGCACCACATGAATGTATACATTTTCCAAAGGTAAAAGGTACCTCCTTTACACATTCGTTCAGTAAGTTTTCATTGAGCACCTACTTGAGGCATAGCCCACGCTTCCTTCTGCTTAGTTCACACCTGTCATCTCTTCTTGTGTTCAGTAACACTGAGCAAGTGTCAAGTGCTGCACCTGGGGACACAAATAAGACACAGGGCCAAGTTAATTGCTTTCACCCTTTTGAAGGGTATTACAGGGAAAGTGGGAAGCACTGGAGAGATACTTTGAGTGATAGGAGACCATTAATTTGGAGTCAGACCCGAAGTCCAGTTCACCACTTACTAGGACAACAACTTCAGTGGACCCATTTTGTTATGTGAAAATAACAGCACTTGTTAAAGATCATAGTAGGTGCTCAGTAAATGATAACTGATATAAGAGTGCAAATAGGTATTGCACTGAGCACTGTGACAGTATGGAAAAGGGATTTCTAACAGATTGAGAAAAAAGAAGGAAATCTCATGCATCCTAAAAATGTGTTGCTTGAGCTGAGTCCTAAAGAGTAGGAATTAAAGACAGTGTGGGAACCAGGATATTCCAGGCAAAGGAAATAACATGTATGAAAGAAAGTAGTCGCAACTTGTGGCCAGATTCCTAGTGACTGTAGCCAAAAGGTTAGCAAATGAGGTGGGACAGGATATCACGGTCCAGTTTGCAAAGCACCCAAATATATGTGGAGTTTAGGCCTTTATTATGTCAGTTATAGGGAGCCAACAAAGGATTTTAAGCAAGCATGGGATATTGTGGGAATTATGTTTTAGGAAGATCACTTCTAGAAACAGTGTAGCAGATGAATAAAAGGATAGATTAAGTGGAGAGGATCTTGTAGGATGTGACTGAAGTAATCGAAGTGATGAGAGCCTGTAATGAGTGAAATGAATGGCAATGGGTTTGAGACGATATGGAAGTTAAATCTTGAGGATTTTGCAATTGATCAGATATATCTGAAGGGATGGTTGTGGGGAGGGAAAGCAGGACAAAGAGGAGTATTAGGATGATTCAGATTCCTAGATTGGGCAACTGGCAAAGGGTCGTGTTATTCAGTAAAGGAATAGAGGAGATGGAGCAGATCTGGAGTAAACTTGGGAGTTTTGTTGTTTTGTAACACCTTTATTGAGATGTAATTCACATACCATACAATTCACTCATTTAAAGTGTATAATTCAGTCACTTTTAATATATTCTAAATAAGAATTGTGCAACCATCACTGCTATCCAATTCAGAACATACTCATCACTCTACAAAGAAACCTTGTATCCATTAACATTCATATACAACCCCTTCCCCCCAACCTCTTCAACCCTAGGCAACACTAATCTACTATATTTGCCCATTCTGGGCATTTTATGTAAATAGGATCATACAATATGTAGCCTTTTGTCTCTGGCTTCTTTCACTTAGTATAATATATCCAAGGTTCGTAATTTGACAGTTTTTATTCATTCAAGAAGTATTTTTTGAGACTTATGTCAGGCACTGTGGCAGTCAGTACAACAGTCAACAAGATAGGCAATATCTATGTGTGTGTATGTGTGTGTGTGTGTGTGTGTGTGTGTGTGTGAGTCACAGTCTTACTCTGTCGCCCAGGTTGGAGTACAGTGGCATGCTCATGGCCACCTCAACCTTGACTTGCTGGGGCTCTGGTGGTCCTTCCACCTCAGCTTTCCAAGTAACTGGAACTACGGCCTACGCAACAATGCCTGGCTAATTTTGTTATTTATTGTAGAGACGAGGTCTCATTATGTTGCTCAGTAGTGGGAAATAAATATAAATAGACATAGTAGCTTCTTGTAGTTGTGTTGTGATAAAAACAATGCTTGATTGTGGCTCACTGTGAAGGACAAATTAGAGGAGGTAGTCAAGGGAAAGCCTCTGAGAAGGTGGCATTTGAACTGAGACCCAAATGAGCCAATCATGTCAGCGTCTGAGGGCAGAGCATTCCAGGAAAAAAGAAAAGTGAATACAAGGGGTCTGTGGTGAATACTAGCTTGGCACGTTGTCTGTGAGGTCCCCAGGAGATATCCCAGTAGAGATTCCTAATGTCAGGAGTACATATTAGAAATCCAGAATGCAGAACAATCTGGGTTACAAATACAGGCTTGGAAAGATTGAGAAGTAAGCCAAGGGGAGAACCCTTGGAATATCAATATGTAAAGGGTGGCCAGGGGCAGCTGAGTTTGAAGGAAACAGGAAAGCCAACAAGACCGTTAAGAGCAGGGGGGAGTCAGAAACCAAGGGAGAAGAGCTCAAAGAAGGAGCAAGTAGGGGTCACAAAGGTGGCCAAAGAACACGTAAGATAAGGACTGATGTCTATAGTCCCAGCTACTTGAGAGGCTGATCACTTGAGCCCAGAGGTTTGAGGCCAGCCTAAGATCTTTTTAAAAAATGTATGTATTTACTATTTACTTAATTTATTTTTTTGAGTCAGAGTCTCACTCTGTCACCCAGGCTGGAGTACAGTGGCATGCTCACACTCACAGCTACCGCAACCTCGACCTGCTGGGCTTAGGCAATCCTTCCACCTCAGCCTTCCAAGTAGCTGGAACTAACTACAGGTGTATGCCACCATGCCCAGCTAATTTTTTTATTTATTGTAGAGATTAGCTCTCATAATTTTTTGATTTATTGTAGAGACAAGATTTTGCCAAGTTCCCAGGCTGTTCTTGAACCTCTGGGCTTAGGCAGTCCTCTTGCCTCAGCCTCCCAAGGTGCTGGGATTATAGGTGTGAGCCACTGTGCCCAGCTTTAAAAAAAAATTAAAACAATAAAGACCTAAATGACTCCTTGCACTTAGTGGCAAGGACAGTTTCAGAAGAGTGGTTGGTAAAAGCTAGATTATAGTGAATTGAGAAGTGAGTAGGAGGTGAGGACAGACAGGCAGAGAGTACACAGCTCTAAGGAAGCTGGTTGGGCAAAGAATAAAATGGTAGGCCAGGCATGGTGGTTCACACCTAATCCCAGTACTTTGGGAGTCCAAGGCAGGAGAATTGCTTGAGCCCAGGAGTTCGAGACCAGCCTGGGCAACATAGCAAGACCTCATCTTCACAAAAAAATAAAAATTAGTTGGGCATGGAAGTATGCACCTGTAGTCCCAGCTACTGGGGAGGGTGAGGCAGGAAGATCATTTTAGGCCACAAGTTCCAGGCTCAGTGAGCTATAACACCACTGCACTCCAGCCCGGGCGGCACAGTGAGACCCTGTCCAAAAAAATAAATAAAATGCAACTAAAGGAGATTAGAGTCCAGAGATTTTTTTTTTTTTTAAATCAGAGTCTCACTCTGTAGCCCAGGCTAGAATGCAGTGGTACGCTGTTCACAGCCTCGCCCTGCTAGGCTCAGGTGATCCTTCCGCTTCAGCCTTTCAAGTAGCTGGAACTACAGGCACGTGTCACCGTGCCCAGCTAATTTCTTGATGTATTGTAGAAATGAGGTCTTGCCAAGTTACCCAGGCTGGGTTCGAACCCATGAACTCAGGCAGTCCTCTCACCACGGCCTCCCAAAGTGCTAGGATTATAGGCGTGAACCACTGTGCCCAGCCAGATTCAAGAGATTTTAACTTTAGGATGAGAATGAGTGTACCATGTTTAAATTCTGTTGGTAAGAAGTAGATAATGAGGACAATGTCGATATAGGAGGGAGGGAGGGAGTACATAGAGTACAGTATCATGGTAAAAAGGTTTACCTTAGAAAGAAGTCTGTTCTATTGAGAATGGAGAAATGGAAGGAGACAAAGATGTGGGTGGGTTGGTAAGTGAAGCTGAGGAAATTGACAAATGGGCTGTATTTTTTGACGCAGACTATGGCCCATGCCTCAAGTGAAGCAGATGGTGGATCGGGAAATTTAGGAGCAAGGAGAAAGTTTAAAATATTTCATGGAAACTAGAAGAGAAAACAGCTAGACAACATTGAGGGCCAGTTCAAGTGGAAGCCCAAGGTATCTATAATAACTAAAAATAAACAGTGGGGGTCCTAGGGATTCATGCCAGCCTCATCTGCAGCTGTTTGATATTCTTTATCAAGAGCCCACTTGGAGGTAGAATCCTCTCATTTGGGGATACACCCATTTCATATCCGTCTCCTAGTGTCTTAAGATCAGGGTCCATGTAGTAGACATTTCTATATTCTGGCACTTAGTACATTGCCTGGCAAATAGAAGCTGCTTCATGTTGAATGAGTGATTGACCTGTGAGTGAGAGTGGTTGGGAAAAGGCATCCAAGAAGGCGAGGGAGCTGGAAAAAGGGGTGAGGTTTAACTAAAAGTGTGCCTATGGTCATTGGAAATTGTGACTGTCTTATTAATTTAAGAATAATTGAAAATTATTTAGGTACTTGATATAAAGTAAGTATACTGAAATAACAGGAGGTAGAAGAAAGAGGGACTGAAATTCATGGTATGAATAAGATAAATACTTAAACCAGAGCTGTTTGGTGAATGCATATTATGATCTTAAAGAAGATGACAGAACTTTGAAGTACTTATAGCTTTATACTTTAGAGCTAATTCTAAAAGTATTAATACATAATCTGCATAACTGCCTGTTTACATTTTTTGTTTTGTTTTGTTTTGAGTTGGAGTCTTACTCTGTTGCCCAAACTGGAGTGCAATGGTATACTTGTGGCCACTGCAGCCTCGACCTGCTGGGCTCAGGCGATCCTTCCGCTTCAGCCTTCCTAGTAACTGGAACTACAGGCACACGCCACCATGTCCAGCTAATTTTTTGATTTATTGTAGAGATAAGGTTCACCAAGTTGCCCAGGCTGGTCTCAAACCTGTGAGCTCAGGCAGTCCTCTCACCTCAGCCTCCCAAAGTGCTGGGATTATAGGCATAAGCCACTGCGCCTGGCCTCAGTTTACATTTCAAATGCATGATAATTTAATCCCAACATTCAGGTTGAATTTAACCTTTAGGCTTCTCAGATCTGTACTACCTTCTCTCACAATTTTAACCACTGCAAATCTCTGGTCTTCTAAGGATCACTTTTCATCTTTTCCCACATTGACACTGTTCTTCAATATCTTTATAATTTTCTAGAACTCTCTGCCTCAAAATTTCTAAGTTAATGTTGTCATCATACAGGACATAGTTTAAGTTGTAAAAAAAAAAAAGAAAAGTTTGGATTTATTGGGCTTGGTTTTGATTGTTTTTTTAATTCTTTTTATTTCTCCCCTTGATGTTTACAGTGGAGCTGGGCAAGAAGTAGGAAGATCATGTATTATTCTCGAGTTCAAAGGAAGAAAAATAATGGTAATTATTAATTTTATAGTCAGGTTCATAGTATGGCTCTGTCTACATTGGCTGTTAGGTATTTTCTAGTAGAGTAGTTATCTATTTAGCTTTCAGAAAAATGTTGTAGTTCACGCAATCTTTGCTATACAATGTTAATTAGAAAAACTAATACACACTTCTACTTAATTTGACAAACCATAAGTAAATTAGGAAGATATAATCTAAGACTGTAAAATTGTGAACTAGATCTGCTCAACTGTTATTTCTTCAGAGTCCCTTTTCCACTCCTGAAGGGTCAAGCCAACCTAACCGTCCCACTTCCAGTGAAGACCCCAAGGAACCAATTGCCCAAACACAGGCAGAACTCTGGCCACCCCCATTCAGCATTGGTGACAGAACCCTGGCTTGGGAGGTTGGATCATTAGGCCTGCTGGCCTCGAGCAAGCCACACTGCTTCTCTAAGCATGAAAGGTAGAGGGATTAGAAGAGATGGTTCCTAAGGTGTTTGTTAGAGAGGCAGCTCAGTGGTTCATGTTGCTTTGGTTCCTCTTTGTTCTCAACTTCTACCATTCTTGAAAGAATAGGTATATGTCAGCATAGTCATCTTTTTAGTCATTTATTGTATTAATTTGGAAGTACTGCCTACAGTATAAGTAAATCTTTAATGACTGAGTCTTAAGAATTTGTTTCCTAATACCTTAAAATATTTAAATTCCTCTGATTAGAGAAGTTTCCTATTTCTAATTACTACCTTCTTACAACAGTCAGATCTGATAGTAGTAAATCTGTGAACTTTTAAAATGCCCACTATCTGATATCAAAGTTCTTGAAAAAAGAATTCATTCATTGTTAGAGTGACTACCAAAAGTAGCCGGAAAGAAAGTGTCTTATATTTTGCATCCTATGACTCTAAATGTGAGCTATATTTTAAATTTATTTGGGAAGTTAGAATTGTTAATAGCATATTAGCCACATTTAATAAGAATTGCATTACAAGAGCTAGTATATAGAATCCATCTTGATATGTGAATGATGGATCAGTTATAATTATTGTCTTTTTGCTGGATGAATTTTAATAAAATACACAGGAGATTGTGATCTTTTTTCCTCTTGCAGCTGGATTGTGGGATCCACCCTGGCTTAGAAGGAATGGATGCTCTTCCTTACATCGATTTAATTGACCCAGCTGAGATTGATCTCCTATTAATTAGTCAGTAAGTGTTTTCCTTTAATAATGATACTGTTTTTCAAGGACTTTAACTATTAAGATCAAAGACTTTTACTCTCAAGATCATTCTTCATCAGATTTTCATTTTTTAAAGAATATTTTCTACTAAGAAACATATTGTAAACATCTAAGTCTAAGCCAGTTCTCCATATTGTCATCACAGGCTAGAAGATTTTACTGTGACAGACTTAGCTACCTGTAGATGTAAGTTCAGTGAGTAAGTGGGAAGGAGATAGTACATACCTTGAATTGTTGTAAAACTTGAAACCAAGCCCTTTTCCAGGATATCTCCTTGAGATCACTATCTCGTCACAGTCTTTTAAAAGAATTTCTTTTAAAAATAGTGACATGTTGCAACTTTATCCCACTAAAATGTTTGTTGTAATTCTGGCTAACGAGGATAGGTTTGTCCAAAACTAGAGATAACTATAAATGAACAAATAAGAGTAGGTTTGGTATATTCTTCTTCCCTCTCTAATTATTCATCAGTAGTAAGTTTTTTGCTGTTTAAAAAACATACTTTTAAAGTCCTTTTTCTATATTGGAACTGTATGCATTATTCCTTCCTTCTGCACATACCTACTCTTGGTTTTCAGAAAGTATCACTATATAACTGTTATATAGAACTTCTTTTGTACAGTGAGCAAGTTTCTTCATTACATAGTATGTGATGGATAATATTTTTAAAATTCTTTTAATCTCTTTGTTTCTTTTTAAGTTTTCATTTGGATCACTGTGGAGCGTTGCCCTGGTTTCTACAGAAGACAAGTTTCAAAGGAAGAACGTTTATGACTCATGCCACAAAAGCTATTTATAGATGGCTTCTTTCAGATTATGTCAAAGTTAGGTAAATTACTTTATTAGATTGTACATGCATCTGCTGCTACATAATATATATTGTTCAAAATATGAACCACTTGCGTTTTAAATAAGACGCTCTTTTTTTATTCACAAGGGTGTCAGTAACAAGGTCATTGAGTACCTATTACATATCCAGCATCTTCCTAACCTTGAATAGTTTTTACATCCTGTTATTTTTTTTTTCTTTTTCTTTTTTTTGAAACCCAGGTCTCACACTGTTGCCCAGACTGGCGTGCAGTGGCACAACCATGGCTCATCACAGCCTTGGCCTCCTGGGCTCAGGCAATCTTTCTGCCTCAGCCTTGAGTAGCTGGGACTACAGGTGCATGCCACTATGCCCCAATAATTTCTTAATTTTTTTTGTAGAGATGAAGTTTTGCTGTATTGCCCAGACTGATCCCAAACTCCTGGGCTCAAGCAGTTCTCTCATCTTGGCCTCCCAAAGTATTGGAATTACAGGCGTGAACCATCATGCCTGGCCTACTTTTTAAATATTTTTTAAACTCTAGTAAACTATAAGTATGATAGAAATACTCTGTAAATAGCACTTCATAATTTTATTAACATTTAATATCAAATACATTATTCAGTAATATTCTTATTTGGGCTTATGTGATCAAAGAAGATTAACTTTTTAATTTTTTTATTTTTGGTCTCATTCTGTTGCCCAGGCTGGTGTGCAGTGGCACAATCGTGGCTCACTGGAGCCTCAAACTCCTGGGCTTAGACAGTCCATCCACCTCAGCTTCCCAAGGAGCGAGGACTATAGGCATGTACCACCACACCCAGCTAATTACTTATTATTTATTTATTTACTTATTTATTTTAAACCTGAGACTAGTGCCCTACTGAAGATGGTTGGAGAATTATTTTTTATTTTTGTAGAGATGCGGTCTTGCTATGTTGCCTAGGCTGTTCTTTAACTCATGAGTTCAAGTAGTTTGGCATTGGCCTTTCAAAATGCTAGGAATATAAGCATGAGCCACTGTGTACCTCTGAAAATTGACTTTTATTTTTTTGAGTTGGAGTCTCACTCTGTCGCCCAGGCTGGAGGGCAGTGGCACGCTCATGGCCACCACAGCCTTGACCTGCTAGGCTCAGGCGATTCTTCCACCTCAGCCTTCCAAGTAGCTGGGACTACAGGCGTGCACCACCACACCCGTCTAATTTTTTGATTTATTGTAGAGATGAGGTCTCTCCAAGTTGTCCAGGCTTGTCTCGAACCCATAGGTTCAGGCAATCCTCTCACCTCTGCCTCCCAAAGTGCTAGGATTATAGGAACGAGCCACCAGCGTGAAACTCCAACTCAAAAAAACATACACTTTTCACAACCCAATGTGAGAAATCTCTGCCATGGTTCATTGTATTTAAGTGTGTTAATCTCTTGGGAGTGTTGGGGCAGAAAAAAAAAGGTTGAGAAATACTATCCTAAAGAGTATTTTGTCTTCATTTACTGTGTGTGTTACTTAAAATTGAGAGTATTTTAAATATCGTCTCTTAATTTACTGTGTACTTTGCTTAAAGTCAAGTTTTGTAGCTATCCACACTGAACAGGAAAGAAACACAAAATGTCCGAGTCTAAATCACATAATCCATACAGTATATTTTTAAGAAATATCTTAATGGATATGTCATCCACACACAGTTTCTTTGCAGTCAAAGGCTTTTAATTTTTTTATTATTATTATTATTTTTATCAATATTTTTTATTATGGTTTTGTGGGGTACAGTTAAGGGTTAGGTGTACAATTACATTTCATTCAGGGTCCCTGTTGATAAGAGGTGTTTCCCCATCCCCAGACAGATATTTGCTACTGTTAATCCCATCCCCCTCTCCCCCCCATAGTTTCCCAGTACCGTCAGTCATTTTCTTATAGTATTACATTGGATGTTCAAGCTCCATTATATGAGTGAGAACATGTGATACTCGGATCTTTGTTTCTGTGAGAGGTCACTCAGTATTATAGACTCTAGTTCCATCCAGGTTGCTGCGAAATTCATGATTTTCTTTTTTATGGCTGCATAGTATTCCATCGTGTATATGTACCACATTTTTTTAATCCAGTCCTCTTTTGATGGGCAGCATGGTTGTTTCCAGGTTCTTGCTATTGTGAACAATGCTGCAATAAACATACGTGTGCAGGTATCTTTTTTATAGAGTGATTTGAGTTCTTCAGGGTATATTCCCAGTAGGGGGATTGCAGCGTCATATGGGAGGTCAATATTTAGAGCTTTTAGGAATCGCCACACTTTCCACAGAGGTTGCACTAGTTTACACTCCCACCAACAGTGTAGAAGTGGTCCCTTTTTGCCACACCCTCTCCAGCAGCTGTTATTTTTTGAGTTGTTGATAATTGCCATTCTGATTGGAGTTAGGTGGTATCTCAGTGTGGTTTTGATTTGCATCTCCATGATGATTAGTGAGGTTGAACATTTCATCATGTGTTTATTGGCTGCTCGGATGTCCTCTTTTGTAAAGTGTCTGTTCATATCTTTTACCCATTTTATAATGGGGTTGTTTGTTTTTTTCTTTTCAGCACGTTTTAGTTCCTTGTAGATCCAGGATGTTAAACCTTTGTCAGACCTGGTGTTGGCAAATATTTTTTCCCAGTCTGTAGGCTGTCTCCCTGCTCTCTTGATGGTTTCTTTGGCCTTGCAGAAGCTTGTCATCCCACTTCAGTCAGTTCAGTTGAAAAATAAAGTTGACACTTTGTCCTTTTAAGTATCATAGTTCCTATCTCCTTTATAATGCTTTCTATATCAGGACTGAAAGGTCCCACTTGTCTATCTTCTCTTATGACCTGTGGGTTTCGGGTTTTGTTCAGGAATTGGATGCCAGTTCCGATTTCCATGAGGGTATTTCCTTCATTTTCTAAGGTTCTTATGGTTTGAGGTTTTACATTTAGGTCTCTGATCCATTTGGAGTTAACCTTTGTGCATGGGGATAGATAGGAGTCCTGTTTCAATCTTCTGTATGTGGTCAGCCAGTTTTCCCAGCACCATTTACTGAATAGGTTCTCCTCTCCCCAGTGGTAGGTGGTGGAGGCCTTGTCGAAGATGAGTTGGTTGAGAAATTGAGCTTTTGCTTCTGGAATCTCAGTTCTATTCCATTGATCTATATGCCTGTTCCTATACCAATACCAAGCTGTTTTGATGATTGTAGCTTTATAGTAAAGTTTTAAGTCTGGTAATGTGATACCACCTGCTTTGTTTTTTTTGCTGAGGATTGTTCTGGCTATTCTTGGACTTTGTGTTTCCATATGAATTCCTGTGTTGTCTTTTCTAGGTCTGAGAAGAATGTTGCTGGTTATTTGATGTGTATGGCATTGAATTTGTAGATTGAAAGGCTTTTTAAAAAAAAAATCTTACTCTTAATTCTTTTTGCTGACATCTCTCAAAATTTAGTAACATATCAGCAGACGACATGCTGTATACTGAGACAGATTTGGAAGAAAGCATGGACAAAATTGAAACTATCAACTTTCATGAAGTTAAAGAAGTTGCAGGAATCAAATTTTGGTGTTACCATGCCGGCCATGTCCTAGGAGCCGCCATGTTCATGATTGAGATCGCAGGCGTGAAGGTACCTTCTGGCTCTAGCACTTTTCTTTTTAACAGAAATCTATGCAGAGATTTGTGCCCCCACATAGTATTTTAAAAAATTCTCTAAGACTGGCAAAGTGTCAAAACACTGAAACAGTAAGATAAAAATAAAGTTGACACTTTGTCCTTTTAAGTATCATAGTTCCTATCTCCTTTATAATGCTTTCTATATCAGGACTGAAAGAAGAGTAAAATAAGCATCTCAATGTCCTTAAAAAAACTGATTAGGAAAGTGCTATCTTTGTGGCTGTATCCATTTAAAATTAAAATACTATTTGTATTCACATCCTTCTAATGTCTTAGGATTCACAGATAAGCCCCCAAGCAGGGTGGACTGCAAGACTAAAAGGGGGTTAATGAGGAAGGGTTTTTGTAGCTATCCTTGATGGAAAGGTGGAATGGAAGCCTCAAACTTCTGAAGGTGTGGGTGGTCCAGACTCTAAGCAACTGCTCTGAACTCTGCTATGCATCAGGATCACTCAGGGAGCTTTCAGAAAATACCTACTGAATCCATATCTGATGTGGGGCTTGGCCTTTTTCTTTTTCTTTTTTTTTTTGGAATCAGAGTCTCACTCTGCCGCCCATGGTGGAGTGCAGTGGCACACTCACGGCCACCACAACCTCGGCCTGGTAGGCTCATGTGATCCTTCTGCCTCATCCTTCCAAGTAGCTGGAACCCAGGCATGTGCCACCATGCCCGGCTGATTTTTTGATTTATTGTAGAGACAAAGTCTCGCCATGTTGTTCAGGCTGGTCTCGAACTCCTGTGCTCAGGCAATCTTCTCACCTCCACCTCCCAAAGTGCTGGGATTACAGGCTTGAGCCACCGCATCTGGAGGCCTTTTTATTTTTACATTTTCTGGGTGATTCTAATGTGCAGCCAGAGTTGAGAACCAGTGCTCTAGTGTAATATTGTCCTAAATTTTTTGCAACTGCTCATACATTTGAAACTTTTATGCGTTGAGTTGCATAATATGTGACCAAATCACTTATTGTTGCAGTTTCCTCTAGGGCACAAAAACTAAGGTAGGAAATAGCAGAAATGCAGATGTGAGTTCTCATTTGGAATTTGATGCATATCCTCTTAGGATTTTATCTCCCATTTTAGACAGTGTTCCCTTGTGCCTCAATGGATTCCTTTCCTTATCAGCATGACTTTTTTCTCTAAGAAGTTCAGAGCACTTCTCAAAGTTTATGAATATTTGTGGAATGATTCTGGGAGTATATTTTTCCCATTAATTAGATCAAAGTATTGAAACACTGAGTGATTTAATGTCTGTAAAACATTTTGAATTAGAAACAAGCATATCAATTGTTTTAGGCTATTTTTCTTTAACTTCACTTCTAGATTTCGTGAACTTAATCTATTCACTAGCAAAATGAAGTTCTCCCAAGAGCCTAACTTTCTAGCTTTATCTTTTTCACAGCTTTTGTACACAGGTGATTTCTCAAGACAAGAAGATAGGCACTTAATGGCAGCTGAAATTCCTAATATTAAGCCTGATATTCTTATCATTGTAAGTATTGATGTACTATATTGTAATTAATGTAACATAAGCAAAATTTTTTTCTAGTGAAAAAAATTCTGCTCTCACTTTCATATGTTATTGGATATACATTTGTCTTTTTAAAAATCAGGAGGGAGCTTCTTTTTGTAGTGTAGCTTCACTTTCTTACTGTTAAATGCAGTAACTGTAATCTAATATCAGAGATGCTGGGCTGTCTCTGGGCAGGATGTTTTATACTGGGTGTGCTCCTTCCCTGTCTCTTAAATATTTTTTTCTAGGCAAGTTACCCCAAGTGTATAAAAGAATATCTTAAGGGTCATTTTAGAAATGGTGTGACCTCACTGCCTTTCTTTTGGCCCTTAGTGCCCACTAGCTTGTTCCGCTGTTCATCTTTATATGCCCTTTCTGTCCACTGGGTTGCAAGTCTCAGGGGAACAAGAAAAATGAACTGTGTGTAGAAACTCTTTTTGAGGGGCAGGGGTTGGGAGACAAATTAATAAGGTGTGTGTTGGTGACAGTGGTGTAAGGGATTGGGTTGGGAGAGAAATTGTTCAGGCTTTGGTATATAAAAGTGCATCAGGTGTATTTGGTTCAAGATGGAAGAGCTGTCTGGCACTCCTCCACACTTCCAGCATCCCCAAGTTGCCCAAGTGCGAGGGCCAGTTGATATTGCTGTCCATAATCAACTTGTGAGTGGATTCGATTGAACTCAGCTCATGGTATACCCAACATATAAACTGACCTTAATTTAAGGAAAAGTTTATTTTTTTAACCCTCAGAAAAAGTAGCTGTTTTCAGAATATCTGATACTTTGGAGCGGTGCTTCTCATACTTTAATGCACTTGTAAATCCTCTTGTGATACTGTTAAATACAGACTCTGATTCAGTAAGTCTGGGCTGGGCCTGAGATTCTAGAGTTTTTTGTCTTATTTTTTGAGTTGGAGTCTCACTCTATCTCCCTGGCTGGAGTGCAGTGGCACTCTCATGGCCACCACACTTGACATGCAGGACTCATGTGATTCTTTTGCCTCAGTCTTCCTAGTAGCTGGAACTATAGGCATGCGCCATCACATCCAGCTAATTTTTCTTGATTTATTGTAGAGACGAGGTCTTGCCAAGTTGCTCAGGCTGGTTTCAAACTCCTGGGCTCAGGCAATTCTCTTGTCCCTGCCTCCCAAAGTGCTGGGATTACAGGTGTGAGCCATCACAACCGGCTGATTCTGCAATTCTAATAAGCTCCCAAGGGATGTTAATGCTGCTGGCCAGTGGGTCATCATGCACAGTAAGTCTTTAAGGGATATTCTTTTTTTTTTGAGTTGGAGTCTCACTCTGTCGCCCAGACTGGAGTGCAGTGTCCGCTCCGGCCACCGCAGCCTCGACCTGCTGGGCTCCGGCGATCCTTCCACCTCAGCTAAGGGATATTCTTAAACAGAAGTATAAGAAACAATGTCTCTTTCTGATTTAAAATCTTCAGCTTATCAGAGATGAAGGAAATATCCTTCCCCACACCCCCAGTGGAAAGTAAAATTGTTTAAAAAAAAGGCATAGGGGAGAATTTACATTTTTGAACTATTTCCTGATTAAATTCTCTAATAAGTTCTTATTACTTGGACCTGACTTCTGGCATTCTTGTTTGTTCATCTTTCCAATTAATATTATAATAATATATATTCAAGTGAATGGCATGTTAATGGAGAAATGTATTATTTTGCCTCAGCATTTAATTATTTGGGGATCATCAGTCTCAGCCTCACACTTGTAATGTGTTATTTAGGAATCTACGTATGGGACCCATATCCATGAGAAACGTGAAGAGCGAGAAGCAAGATTCTGTAACACTGTCCATGATATTGTAAACAGAGGTGGCAGAGGTCTCATTCCTGTCTTTGCTCTTGGAAGGGCTCAGGAGCTGCTCTTGATTCTAGGTATGCTTGATTCTAGGTATTCTTTTTATTTGGTAGGTTATCAAAATCTCTTATCATTTTATCAAGATACTAACATGGCCTTGAATAAGTCATTCTACTTTTCTGGGCTTTAGTTTCTTTATTTGAAGACGAGGATTTGGTGCTAGGAAGAGGCCAGGGAAACAGCAGTTTTCTTTTTTTTTGAGTTGGAGTCTCACTCTGTCGCCCAGACTGGAGTGCAGTGGCCACTCCCAGCCACCACAGCCTCGACCTGCTGGGCTCCAGCAATCCTTCCGCCTCCGCCTTCCAAGTAGCTGGAATTACAGGCATGCGGTACCACCGCCTGGCTGATTTTTTGATTTATTGTAGAGATGAGGTCTCACTGCCCAGGCAGGTCTTGAACCCGCGGGCTCAGGCAATCCACTCACCTCCAGCCTCCCAAAGGCGCAGGATTACAGGCTGAACCACCAAGCCCGGCTTTAAACAGCAGTTTTCATGCACGGTTATTGGCAGTGTAAGTTGATGTATTGTTCTAGTTGCCGTCAGCCTCAGATGTCTTAAGATATGTGTACTAGTCTGGGCATGGTGGCTCATGCCTGTAATCCTAGCAATTTGGGAGGTGGAGGCAAGAGGATTGCCTGAGTTCATGGGTTCGAGACCAGCCTGGGCAACTCGGCAGGTCCTCATCTCTACAATAAATTAGCCGGGCTTGGTGGTACACTCTTGTGGTTCCAGCTACTTGGAAGGCTGAGGCGAAAGGATCACCTGACCCCAGCAGGTCAAGGCTGCAGTAGCCATGAGTGTGCCACTGCACTCCAGCCTGGGTGACAGAGTGAGATTCCTACTCCAAAAAAAAAAAAAAAGAGACGTGTAGAAAATTTTGTCAGGAAAGATATCCATTATTTTAGTATTTTTAAGGAAATACTACATTGTAGGAAAAAATTATGTACAGATGAGTAATTATGTACTTTCATATAATATATTAAGGGGACCAAAAAAGTAGGGTTCAAAACTATGTATACTCTGATCTTAGTTAGGTAGAAAATATATACATAAATGACTGGAAAGATATTAAATTAAAGAAAATGGATTATTTTCTTTCATTTTCTGCTTTTTTCCATTTTCTCAATACTTCAATGAACAAGTATAACTTTTTGTAATAAAAGGAACAACGGGTGTCACATTTTTAGCATAAATTTATACTTAATTATCCCTTCTACCCCATATTCTGTGTTTCTTTTTGGGGAAAGCACTCTTCTTTTTTTTGAGTCAAAGTCTCAAAACCATCACAGAATTTAGTGTCTCTGGGGTAATAAGTCTATTATTCAGTATACTTACACTGAATCCCTTTTCAAAACCTCCACATCTTTGGACTATGATCACAACATTCTTTTTAGGTCATGCACTAGTATTTAAAAATAAGTTTTGGTAAATACAAGGACCAAATAATTATATCATTAGACGTGGAAAAAGCTTTTGATAAAATCCAGCACCCCTTGTTGGTAAAAACCCTCGAGCATCTAGGCATAGATAGAACGTACCTCAAAATAGTAAGAGCTACCTATGAGAAACCCACAGCCAACATACTGCTAAACAGACAGAAGTGGAATCATTTCCCCTGAAAACCAGAACAAGACAAGGGTGCCCAATCTCATCCCTCCTGTTAACATAATATTAGAAGTCCTAGCTAGAGCAGTCAGACAAGAGAAGGAAATCAGGGGTATCCAAAGAAGGAAAGAGGAAGTTAAGTTATCCTTCTTTGCAGACAGCATGATTCTATACCTTGGAAACCCAAGAGAATCTGTCAAAAACCTCCTTGCGCTGATAAAGTTCTTTGACAAATTCTCAGGGTATAAAATAAGTGTACAAAAGTCAGTTGTATTCCTATACACCAACAATAAACAAACAGAAACCCAAATAAAAAGCGCAATCCCATTCAAAAATAGCCACACAAAAAAATGAAATACCTTGGCATCTTCCTAATCAGAGAAGTCAAAGATGTTTACAATGAAAACTACAGAACAACGCTCAAAGAAATCAGGATGACACAAACAAATGGAAAAATATTCCATGCTCATGGATTGAAAGAATCAACATTGTTAAGATGTCCATCCTACCCAAGGCAATCTACAGATTTAATGCCATACCCATTAAATTACCAGCAGCATTCTTCTCAGACCTGGAAATGACAGTAAAGGAATTCATATGGAAACATAAACGGCCACAAATAGCCAAAACAATCCTCAGCAAAAACAAAACAAAAACAAAAACAAAGCAGGAGGCATCATGCTCCCAGACTTTAATCTTTATTATAAAGCTATAATGACCAAAACAGCCTGGTATTGGTACAAGAACAGGCATATAGGCCAATGGAACAGGATAGAGATTCCAAAAGCAAAACCTCAATTTCTTAATCAACCCATCTTCAACAAAGCCTCCACCATTAACCACTGGGGAAAGAGGAACCTATTCAGTAAACGATGCTGGGAAAACTGGCTGACCACATGCAGAAGATTAAAACAAGACCCCTACCTCTCACCATACATAAAAATCAACTCTAAATGGATCAAAGACCTAAACGTAAACCTTAAGCTATAAGAACCTTAGGAAATGCAGGAGACACCCTTATGAAAATTAGAACTGGCAACCAATTCCTGATCAAAACCCCAAGTGCCTTTGCCTATGCCATAAGATAGACAAGTGGGACCTCATCAAACTGACAAGCTTCTGCAAAGCCAAAGAAACCATCGAGAGTTCAGGGAGACAGCCCACACACTAGGAAAAAATATTTGGCAACTGTATATCTGACAAAGGCCTAATATCTAGGATCTACAAGGAACTCAAACAACCCAAAAAGAAAAAAAATACCCTGTTACAAGGTGGGCAAAAGATATGAATAGACACTTCTCAAAAGAAGACATAAGCAGCCAACAGATACATGAAATACTGCTCAGCCTCACTGGTCATCAAAGAAATGCAAATTAAAGCCACACTGAGATAGCACGTAATTCCAGTCAGGATAGCCATCATCAATAATTCAAAAAACAGGTGCTGGAGAGGATGCGGCAAAAAGGGAACACTTCTATAATGTTGGTGGGAGTGTAAACTAGTAAAGTCTCTGTGGAAAACAGCGTGGTGATTACTAAAAGATCTAAAAATCGACCTCCCATACGACCCCGCAATCCCCCTACTGGGAACATACTTGGAGGAACTCAAATCACTCTGAAGATGATACCTGCACACATGTTTATTGCAATATTATTTAAAATAGCAAAAACATGGAACCAACCATGCTGCCCATTGAAAAAGAATTGGACAAGAAAAAAAATGTGTATATACATGATGGAATATTATGCAACCATAAAGAAGGACAAAATTATGAACTTCGCAGCAACTTGGATAGACTTAGAGACTATAATACTGAGTGATGTATCACAGAAACAAAGAACTGAGGATTGCATGTTCTCACTCATAAGCAGACCTTGAACAACTATCATAATACTTTAATAAAGGGATTGACAGTAGTGGGAAACTGCCAGGGGGAGGGGGAGGCACACCTCATCAACAGGGTTACCTGCATAATGAACATTTGTATACCTAACCCTGAATTATACCCCACATATTTAAAATAAAAAATTAAAATAAATTTTGGTTTTGTAAGTTTAAGTTTGTAGGGACCAGGCTAGTTTTTCTTAAACTGTTTAAAATATAGTTATGTGCTTTAACTTATTTCTTAGTTGTCTGTATATTTAAAGGTTAATTATGTTTTTAATGTATGATTTGAACTATTTACCTGACATAACAAAGTGATGTTTGCTTCTTGAAAAATCTCTGTAGATGAGTACTGGCAGAATCACCCAGAACTACATGACATTCCAATATACTATGCATCATCTTTGGCCAAGAAGTGTATGGCAGTGTACCAGACATATGTAAATGCCATGAATGACAAAATCCGCAAACAGATCAACATCAATAATCCCTTTGTTTTCAAACACATTAGTAACCTCAAGGTGAGTGCTTATGAGAAAAAGACAAAGATGGAAGAAACACAAATCAGTGATTAGTAATTGGAGGTGCTTGTTGATTTTGTGGGTGAATCCCCCTTGCTGAAGTCCTACCTCTTTTCTAGCAGGCATTGCTTTTCTGCAGGAAATCTAAACTCCAGCAACTGGCATTCATTTTTCTTAAACGAATTTTGCCACTTGCTCCAAGTATCTATATGTTCTCAGTATTTACAATTACTAAACAACTTGGATCTCTTTTGCCACCGAAATAAAAGGTCCTGACAAGGAAAAATATCTTGTGTTATGTATTAGGTTTCTCTGTTTTCATTCAAACCTAATCATCTTTTTGATAGTGCTGTAAATTCCATATATGAACATTTTCATGTTTTCTTTTCTAGAGCATCCAATAAAATTTTTAAAAACTGTTTCAGTCATCATTCAAACTGGAGCTTTATTCATCATAAGATAATTAAGTTATAAGTGGTCTTCCAGTTTATAAGTAGGTTTTGTTCATGAAGTATGTTGTTTAAGTTAATTGCTTATGAATTAGAGCCAGTTTCTCCAGTATTAATCCTTTTGATTAGGTTTCCAGGCCAGCTCAAAATATTCATGAAATACACAAAGCCATTGTAAGTCTCTAGGAAAACTTTCAGAGTTCTACCTTGGGTGGGTCAAAACCCATTTTTACTTTTCTACCTGCCTGCTAGGCACTGAAAATGGCCCTAATGATCCTGAAATGGTCCTCTAGCTACCAGTAGAAGGTTTTGAAGATCAGTGTGAACTTACTGCTTTTTATCATTTCGCTTTCCTGTCATTCCTAGACTAAATTGTTTAGGAACTTGGTGATTGGAGTTAAAATGTTAACTAGCCTTGTCAACACCTTTTCAGGAGTGTGATTAATTTTTTACCTCTCTTTGTCTAACTCTGGTAGTTTACATGCTTTTACATTCCTTTTTCTCCTTTAGAGCATGGATCATTTTGATGACATTGGTCCCAGTGTTGTAATGGCCTCCCCAGGCATGATGCAAAGTGGCTTATCCAGAGAGTTATTTGAAAGCTGGTGTACTGATAAGAGGAATGGTGTCATTATAGCCGGGTACTGTGTAGAAGGAACACTTGCCAAGGTCAGTTATAGTCTTAGGGCTATTGTGTGAATCCTCATCAAAATTACAGAGATGGCAGTCTGCTCACAGGTTTTTCCATTGAATTGGTTCTTTAAATAATAGAAGTTTTGATTTTTAAAAAAAGGATCAAAATAGGTAGCTAGAGATGGATGGATGCAGATGCAGAATGGCATAACAAGATCCTCAGGTAATTGGTGTACACATTAAAGTTTGAGAAGTGCTCATTTGGTTACAAAATAAAAACATAGGAAACTATTTGAGACAAACATGAATACCCTCATCTGATGAAGAGGAGATTTACTAATATGTATTCTCTTAAAAAGCGGTAGCTTGTGTTTGGATTGACTGCCCATCTTACTATTGGTATGAAAAGGTTGATGTTAACTCTTAAGAATATACACATTGTGGAAAATACATGCAAAGCCTTACAGGCAATTTTTTAATATTTAAGCACCACATCTCATCTTCTCATAGTTAACCTCTATATTATTTTTAAAAATATAAAATGATTCCTCATTTTGATCATAATTATTACTTTACCTTATTCTACAAAGTCCTTTGGTGACAATATTGGCCAAGTATTTAAAATAGCTTTCCTGAATGGAAACACATCTGCCCTTTATACAAATCCACATGTCTGGGAAGTACTTTTTAAAGCAGGAGAATAGTTGGGAATACAGGTTTGTCTTTCTAAAAATGAGTTACAGTTTTCACTACCAACACTCCAAATATATTGAGTTTTAATTAATCTGCTTACTTTCCTAATTAAGTGTTTGCCTGATCGGGAAAATTAGTATTTGTAATTTACTAAGTCAATAGTGTTAGAATTATTTTTGTGCTGAAGGTCCTAAATTGAACATAAGATTTTTTTGACTCCATGAAAAAATAAAAATGTACCTTTTCTTTTCTAATTAGTTTATTCGTTTGTTTTATTATTTTTCTTTATTTTTAACAGCATATCATGTCTGAACCTGAAGAAATCACTACCATGTCTGGACAGAAGTTACCACTGAAAATGTCTGTTGATTACATTTCTTTCTCTGCTCACACTGATTACCAGCAAACCAGTGAATTTATTCGCGCTTTGAAACCGCCTCATGTGGTTAGTCTGAATTTGATTTATAGTACTAAAGAGGAAAAAAAGCATACTCAAGAAACTGTGCAGCAGTTAGTTCACAAATTAAGCGTCACCTTCTGTTAATGTAGCACTTTATGAACAGATCATTTGCACTTGGATTTGACCTTTACAGTTCCCTTTAAGTTCAACAAACGATATGTTTTCAATTTCTCCATTTTACACTGACTCTTATTCAAACCTACCAACCCCAGTTCTAGTGGTTTTTTTCTACTATTTTCTGCTGCCTGCTAGTATTAATTACTACCACCAATTCTACTAGTATAATTTTGTCATGCAGATATACTTTTGCTAGAGCTGATTATTAGAGGAAAGTGAGCAAGTTCAACCCAGGAACTTAAGAGCCAGGCTTTGGAGTACGACTGCTTATTTTGAATCTGGGATCCATCTCTTATCTGGTTTGAAACCTTGGGCAAGTTACTTAAACTCTCTGTACTTCATTTGTAAGTAGGTATAATAATATCTTACAAGGTTATTGTGAAGACTAAACGAGAGAACATATATCCAAAGCACTCAATAGGGCGCCTGGCACATAGTAAATGCTTAGTCATAAAATCAAATAGGCCATGCAATAATTTGGACAGAGGAGAAGACAAGTCACATTATAGTAAAAGTTTAAGATTTAAATAGATATGAAGTGCATTGCAAAGCTCCTTATTTAGTATATGACTTATTTATATTTTTTAATGTTATGTTAATTATAAAAGTAATAGTTAAACCGGGTGCGGTGGCTCTTGCCTGTAATTCCAGCACTTTGAGAGACTGAGGCAAGAGGATTGCCTGAGCCTAGGGGTTCAAGACCAGCCTGGGCAAATTGGCGAAATCTTGTCTCTACAACAAATTAAAAAACAAAAATTTAGCCAAGCATAGTGGCGCGTGTCTGTGGTTCCAACTACTTGGAAGGCTGAGGAGGAAGAACTCCCTGAGCCCAGCAGGTCGAGGCTGGAGTGACCATGAGCGTGCCACTGCACTCCTGTCTGGGTGACAGAGTGAGACTCCGACGCAAAAGAAAAAGTAATAGTTATATATTTTGGTGGGACTGGAAAGAAGTAAGCGGACAAAAAATATTTTTTTAAATTAGAAGACCATTTATAGGCCAGGTGCAGTGGCTCATGCCAGTAATCCCAAGCACTTTGGGAGGTAGAGGCTAGAGGATTGCCTGAGCTCAGGGGTTTGAGACCTGCCCAAGCAACATGGTGAGACTTCGTCTCTACAATAAATTTTAAAAAACTTAGCCAGGTGTGGTGGCACATAATATAGTTCCAGGTACTTGGACGGCTAAGGCGGAAGGATTGCCTGAGCCTAGTAAGTCAAGGCTGCAGTGGCCATGAGCATTCCACTGTACTCCAGCCTGGGCACAGAGTGAGACTCTGACTCAAAAATAAAAAATAAAAGAAAAGAAACCTAAGGAGAACTACGGATGTTTTCTGAGATACTAAGAGTAGCCACCATTTTACATAAGTCATAGGCATTTAAAGCTGGAAAGGACCACAGAAGCCACCTGGCTCAGCCCCTTACCACTGTGAACATAGAAGCATTGAAACAAAAAAAAATCATATATCTCATGGCAAAGATTGGAGTAGAAAAGTTTCTTTTTTTTTTTTATATAAAGATGCAGGGTACAATTCAGGGTTAGGAATACCAGTGGTGATTATGCAGCTACCCTTGTTGATGTGATATGCCCCTCCCTCCCCTGGCAGTTTCCCTCAACTGCCAATCCTACCTCCCTGACAGTTTCCCACTACTGCCAATTGCTTTCTTATAGTATTATAATTGTTTAAGGTCTGCTTATGAATGAGGAAGAAAAGTTTCTTTACTCTCTCTTGAAATAGTTCCACGTAAGTATCTTTTCAAGCCAAACAATGAATATGTCTATACAAGTGTGATTGACTGGAGGGCCTTAAAAGTAGTAAAGTTTTGTAACTTCATGTATGTCTCTGTTTCATGTACTTAATTCATTCAGATAAAGGTACCATCATTAATCTGAATGAGATTTTTCCCTATGCTCTTTTAAAATTTATTCTGTGTAGATTTTAGTCCATGGAGAACAGAATGAAATGGCCAGATTGAAAGCAGCGCTGATTCGAGAATATGAAGATAATGATGAAGTTCACATAGAGGTTCATAATCCTCGGAATACAGAAGCAGTGACCTTAAACTTCAGAGGAGAAAAACTAGCCAAGGTAAAAGGTTATGGTTCCTATCATCCTATCCATGTTTTTGCTTCAGGGAAGAAAGAGTGTACTTCTTAAAAAAAATAGACCTCCTATAATCAAATCAAGAGAGTGTGTTTCTTTCTGTCTACTTTTTTTTTTTTTGGAGGCAAGGTCTTGCCCTGTTTCCCAGGCTGGAGTGCAGTGGCACAATCAGCTCACTACAACCTCTATCTCCTGGGCTCAAGGGATCCTCCTGTCTCAGCCTCCCAGGTAGCTAAGACTATAGGCACAAGCCAGCACACACTGCTGATTTTTGGTAGACAAATCTTAATATGGTTTAAAGCACTAGCTCTTTAATCTCCATCCCCCTCACTTTTCCTTCCCACATCTGAAGGTGAGCAGATATTCATTATTGTTTATTTCCATATCCAATACAATGTTGTGTCCACCTCTTGTCATTCTTCCTAAGAATCTAAAGATAGGCCTATATCACTAAACATATATGTTGGAGATCAGCCTGAGCAACATAGCAAGACCTTGCCTCTATTTAAAAAAAAAAAAAGTGTCTTCCTTGGTGTATGACCTCATCCATACCTGTCTTTATTGACCCTTTTATTTGGAGATGTTGCTTCTTTTAGTGTTAGGTTAGCATAGCTGCCCACCTTTGTAGGACTGGAGCCTGCTGTCTGTGTACTGGTTTGTAACCAGCCTGAGGGAGCACGTGCATTTCAGCAGGTACTTCCTGTCCTTCCCCAGTACACAGCAGCTGCTGAGAGGTTGCTTAACCCCCAGGACCTAGTAGCTTACTTGGTTGTTGAATTAATTGGACCTGAACTTAACCTGGTCATTCTTGTCAGATCTGCCCCACTCTTCCCACCCTGGCCATAGAGATGTAAAACATTCTGTGTTTTTCATGGTTAAATTCATGGGTTATTTTCATAGTTCAAATGTCTAATGGTCACCATTATAATTAATTGCATTTTAGTGCCTGAATAACTGCATTTTACAATGTTCTATTTTCTTCAAGTTTTTTGGTGTTTGTTTTAATAGGTTATGGGCTTTTTAGCAGACAAAAAACCAGAACAGGGCCAGCGGGTCTCCGGAATACTTGTTAAAAGAAATTTTAATTATCACATACTTTCTCCTTGTGACCTGTCCAGTAAGTAAATTATTAAATATCAAATATAATTTGATCTTAGCATTGAAAGACAATCTCTGAAAACCCCTCTTAATCTAATGGTCAAATTTTTTTAAGTAATGAACAAATAATAAAATAATTGCAAATTAGTAATCTCATTAACTTTGAGAGGAGGAAAAAAAATCTTGAACTACTGAAATATTTAAATTATTTGTGAAGTCACTTTTTTCATGATTGGAAATATAAGTTTACTTCTAAGGTTGACTACTTCTGCTGACTTTTTAGCCACCCTGTTTTCTACGCTTTATTTGTTTTTTTTTTTTTAATTTCTTGAGTTGGAGTCTCACACTGTCGCCCAAGCTGGAGTGCAGTGGCACGCTCACGGCCACCGCAGCCTCGACCTACTGGATTCAGGCAATCCTTCCACATCAGCCTTCCAAGTAGCTGGAACTATAAGCACACGCTACCACACCCAGCTAATTTTTTGTATTTTTTATTGTAGAGATGAGCTCTTGCCAAGTTGCCCAGGCTGGGGAAAGCCTAATTTTTTCATTGTATTGGAGCTGTCTTTCAAATCCACATAAGTAACACCAACTATATAGCTGAAGCCTATAATGTATATGTGTGTGTATCTATATACACACACAGCTCATTATAAAAGAAAAATGAAAATTTACACAAAGCTCATGGCCACCACAGCTTTGACCTGCTGGGCTCGGTGATTTTTCCATCTTAGCCTTCCAAGTAACTGGAACTGCAGGTACACCATGACACCCAGCTAATTTTTTTATTTATTGTAGAGACGAGGTCTCGCTAAGTTGCCCAGGCCGGTCCCAAATACCTGGGCTCAGGCAATCCTCTCACCTCCACCTCCCAGAGTGCTAGGATTACAGGCGTGAACCACTATGCCTGGCCAAGTTCTTATTCTTATGCCAGGCTTTGCTAGGGGCTATAGGACTAAAGATTTAAAAACACAGTTCCAGCCCTTGAAATCTATCTAATGAAGCAGTCTTAGGAAGAACTAATTGCAGTGTAGCTCAATGACATATAGAAGCTCAGGATAAGTATGTGAGGGGAGACTGGGCCTAGGGAGTTGGGGAAAACTTTGCAAATCAGGTAGCACTTGTGCCGGGTGGTGAAAGATTATTAGGAGCTGCCAAGTAGAAAAGAAGGTGATGACAGTTAGCATATTGGCTCCAAGATGTCCGAGAACCTGGCAGTGTTCAGGAAAGTTGGGGTACTTTCTTAAGACTGGAGCAGAAGTTAATGGGTTGGGGGAGAGTAGGGAGAGAGGTAGGGAAATGCAGGGTGGGACCAAATTAAGGAGCATCTTGTTAGCTTTTTGAAAAACGTGTTCTCATTTATTTTGCTTTTACTTTTTTTCCTTACTCCTGGTATGTGATTGCAAGTTGTGTTTTGTGGGACTAGTAATGTTTTTTAAAGTATATTTATTCTGATTTTTTTCTTCAGATTATACTGACTTGGCCATGAGCACTGTGAAACAGACCCAAGCCATTCCATATACTGGTCCCTTTAATTTACTCTATTACCAGCTACAAAAATTGACAGGTATGTGTTTATTGACATTTTTTACATTGTTTTCTGTTTTTAAATGAGATAATTTTATATCTAGGAAAGAGTGTTATTTAATTTTGGTTATCTCAGGACTATACAAATTTTATTTATATACATGGTCATGTACTATCTAAAATATCAGTAGTCTTTTCTCCTGGTATTTAAAATCTGTTTTAGTTGACTACACCTACAATATTATTTATTTCCTTTTTTTGATTAGTGAAAATAATGTTTCTGGTTCTGTCAATATCAGTCTATATAGCATGATTTCTAAGAGCTCAAGACTACTGGTCAGTGAGAGAATAAACCTATTTTGTTTTCATATTAGACCATTTTGAGTTAGAGATTTGCGTGTATTAACATGAAGGGCAATGACTAAATTAAAAGGTGTAGACTCTGTAATAAAGCAAGAATACTTCATATTACAAAATTAGCTTTCATGGCCAGGCACGGTGGCTTAAGACTATAATCTCAGCACTTTGGGAGGCCGAGGTGAGAGAATTGCCTGCGCCCACAGGTTCGAGACCAGCCTAGGCAACATAGTGAGACCTCATCTCTACAATAAACCAAAAAATTAGCTGGGCGTGGTGCACGCGCCTATAGTTCCAGCGACTTGAAATACTAAGGCGGAAGGACTGCCTGAGCCCAGCAGGTTAAAGCGGTGGCCAGAAGCATGCCACTGCACTCCAGTCTGGGCAACAGAGTGAGACTCCAACTCAAAAACAAACAAACAAAAAACGCTTTCCTAGAATTACAGGTTATAATATATGTAGTTAATAAAATATGTCTAAATTAATCCTTGATTAAGAGGACAGTAGGAAAACCAGAAAAGTCTCATCTTCAACAATATAATTTCCCATAGAATGACTAACTTAGGAAGACAGAGGGTGGAAGAGGTGAGGTGGCAGTAGTTGACTAGTTTCATGTCAGATGCTAAGAGGCTAGCAAAGGCTTCTTCTGTCATTCAAACATCGATGTTTGAACATCACCTAAGTTTGCTACAAATAAAATATCTAGTGTCCAAGGTAAATTCTACCTAATTATTTGCATTTTTACAATATATGTTTAGATCTTTCAGTTGCTGTAAGCAATTAAAATAAAACTTACTTTGCTGTTTAAAAATGAGCTATACAAATGAATTATTAAGTTTTTCATTGTGTAGCTGCTTTATTTTAACTGTTTCGATAAACAAATGAATAAACTGGGCTTGGTGGCTCAGCCTGTAATCCCGCACCTTGGGAGGCTGAGGTGAGTGGATTGCCTGAGCCCGCGGGTTCGAGACCCGCCTGAGAAACTTAGTGAGACCTCATCTCTACAATAAATCAAAAAAATTAGCTGGGTGTGGTAGCGTGCGCCTGTAGTTCCAGTGACTTGGAAGGCTGAGGTGGAAGGATCGCCGGAGCCCAGCAGGTCGAGGCTGCGGTGGCTGGGAGCAGCCACTGCACTCCAGTCTGGGCTACAGAGTGAGACTCCAACTCAAAAAAAAAAGAATAATTATGCCTCTGGAAGATTATGAGAACATTATATACATCTTGTAATACTTTTTTTTTCAGGTGATGTAGAAGAATTAGAAATCCAAGAAAAACCTGCTCTGAAAGTATTCAAAAATATTACTGTAATCCAAGAACCAGGCATGGTGGTATTAGAAGTAAGATAAGATCATTTACCTAACATGGAGGAAAAAAGTTTTAAAAGAGTTCATGTATAATTGTAGAGAAAATTAGTTTCTTCCCATTTAGAAAAAAATAATTGCTGGAAAATATAAATATAGCATTTCTGGGCATTTTCTATGTAGTTATAACAAAAAAACTAATAAATAAGGCTTAATATTTAGTATGTTTAATGAGTACGAGTCTTTCAAATGAGTCTTAACTGATTTTGTGGTACTCTAGGATGTCTTCGGTTATATCAAAAGGTGATAAATCTAAGTTAAAAATTTAATCCTGCCAGGCTCGGTGGCTCAGCCTGTAATCCCGCGCTTTGGGAGGTTGAGGTGAGTGGATTGCCTGAGCCTGCAGGTTCGAGACCCGCCTGGGCAACTTGGTGAGACCTCATCTCTACAATAAATAAAAAAAATCAGCCGGGCGTGGTGCCTGTAATTCCGGCTACTTGGAAGGCTGAGGCAGAAGGATCACTGGAGCCCAGCAGGTTGAGGCTGCGGTGGCCACTGCACTCCAGTCTGGGCGACTGAGTGAGACTTCAACTCAAAAAAATAAATAAATAAAAATAAAAAATAAAAATTTAATCCTATTACATTAAAACAAACTTGTCGTGCAGCACTCCTTTAAAGAGTGGAATTTTGAAGATTGAAATAAGCAATAATCAAGTTACCCAAACCCCAAAATGTTAGAAATAATTAAATTAGGTGAATGTGGTTCCTAACTGTTCATATTTTACATTCCTACTGGTAGAATTTAGAAGACAGACACCAAGCAATTACAAGGTTGACCCTGACAGACTAACATTTGTTAAGTTTAAAGAAGGGTTTTCAAAGAGAGTCTTGGCATTAAATAATCCAGGGAGGCATACTGTCTATTTTTTTACCACAAAGTAGAATTGCCTATACATTTCTGAGTTGTTTAGTCAACTACTTTATTCTTGCATACTTTTTTTTTTTTTAAATAGAGATGAGGTCTTGCTATGTTGCCCAAGCTGGTCTTGAACTTCTGGACTCAGGCAATTCTCTTGTCTTGGCCTTCCAAAGTGCTGGGTTTATAGGCGTGAGCCCTATATTTATACAAAGAATTTTTAAAAACAAAATGATCTGTCAGCTCTGATCCCACTACATTTTTGTGATTTAAGTTTAAATTTGATTCATAAGACCACAGACAACTAAGTGTCAAAAGGAGTAGTTATTTATAACATGAATTTTCATACAGTAATATATAAAATGTTAATATCAGAGGAAGGGGAAAAGTTATTAGAGACATTAATTTAGCTCTTACTACTATATACCATTAGCTAATGTATTTTTGTTCCTAGGGTTAACATGTCAAAGAAGACCTTAGGGAATATTTTGTTTTGTTTTTTGGGATTTAAAAAAATTTGCAATGACTAAAACAAAAATTTAAAACCATAGCTTCTATAATAACCACTTGATCTTGCCCATCTTGTACCTCTCTTCAAACTTGACCTTGACCTCCTGTCAGGCCTGTGTTTAAGAGCAGGGTCTCTGAAGACATCCTTGTTGACAACAGTTTTGTCCAAGGGGATATCCACAAGAGTGCCTTGTGGGCATGAGGTGATTGTAGTTATAAACTTTGACAAAAGACTTGATTTTTGACCTCTTGGCAGTTTTCTGCTTGCCCATGTCAGCTATCACTTTGCGGGGACAGCGGTCAATTCCAGCCACCAGTGCATGGCTGTAGGGGCAGTCTGAGGTGCCATCATCAATATTCTTCACAATGATGGCTTTGCGTCCAATGTAGCGTCTGGGCAGGATCAGCACCATCTTCCTGGGTTTCATGAACTTGCCCATTTCCAGTGCTGCTGGGACACTTGACCTCAGGTCACGGATGGCAGTGGATTGGAAGCTGGGAGTTTTTTAAGAAACAGAGGAAAAGCCGGGCACAGTGGCTCATGCCTGTAATCCCAGCACTTTGGGAGGTCAAGGCATGAGGATTGCTTGAAGCCAGAAATGAGGATCAGTTGAGACCAGGAGCTCAGGACCAGCCTGGGTAACATAGTGAGACCCCCATCTTTACAAAAAATAAAAACAAATTAGGCAGGCACATTTGGCATATGTCTGTAGCCCCAGCTACTCCGGAGCCTGAGGCAGGTAGACCGCTTGAGCCCCGTAGTTTGAGGCTGCAGAGAGCTATGATTGTACCACTGCATTTAAGCCTGGGCAGCAGAGTGAGACCATGTCTCTTTATTTATGTATTTATTCGTTTGTTTGTTTTTGAGTCATAGTCTCATACTGTCGCCCAGGCTGGAGTGCAGTGGCATGCTCACAGCCACTGCAGCCTCGACCTGCTGGGCTCGGGTGATCCTTCCACTTCAGCCTTCCAAGTAGCTAGAACCACCACACCTGGCTAATTTGAGACTTTGTCTCTCAAAAAAAAAATGTATACTCTTTGGAGAGGCAATAAAAGATGGGGGGAACTTTCATTCCTGAAACAATTTTTTTTTTAAGTCAGTCTCACTCTGTTGCCCAGGCTGGAATGCAGTGGCTTGCTCATGGTCACCCCAGCAGTCATCCTGCTGGGCTCAGGCAGTCCTTCTGCCTCAGCCTTCCAAGTAGCCAAAACTGCAGGTGCATGCTATCACACCTGGCTAATTTTTTGATATATTGTAGAGACGAGGTCTCACCAAGTTGCCCAGGCTGGTCTTGAACCCCTGAATTCAGCCAATCCTGTCTCCTCAGCCTCCCAAATTGCTAGGATCACAGGCTTGAGCCACCATGCCTGGCCTTCCTGAAATAATTAACCACTCTCACTATGACCTGGAGACATAGACAATTTTGTTGGAACATTGTGCACATAAAAGAGTGTCCGGGGATCTGAGTCTGAGTGTAAGAGGCAAAAGTAAATGTTTGAAAATATTACTGTCTTACTGTACTGTGCTACTAAAGTATAGTGATTAGGAATTTGAGTTTGACTCCCAACACCAGCAATTATCCTGTACAAATTACTTTTGAGTCAGTTGTCTCTTTTTTAAAATGAGGCTGTTAATAGTACCATTTGTTATGGGAATGAAATGATAATGCATATAAAACACTGTGCCATAAAGGAAGTGTTTAGTACATTCTACTTTTGTTATTTAAAGGAAATTAGAGGAGTACCGCATTGTCAGTTAATTTCAGTCAGTGAGTCAGTTAATTTCAATGAAAATGCTAGAGGCAGTAAACCCATAGGTACAGTCTGTGGATGGGTGGGTAGAATTCATGGCTTTTGCAGTTGACCATAGTCGTTACCATCCTAATTCTGCCTTTTGATTTCCAGTGGTTGGCAAACCCTTCTAATGACATGTATGCAGATACTGTAACAACCGTGATCCTAGAAGTTCAGTCAAATCCCAAAATAAGGAAAGGTACAAAATTATTTCATTTTTATTAGTTAATTCTTTCCTTTCTCCCATGTTTCTGTGAACTAATAAGCAGTAAATGGAGTCCTAAATAACTTGAAATCTGATTTTTTTATTCCTTTGTAATCTTTAAGATATAATATATGCATAATAATGCATACTGGTATTTTACATACTTTTTGTCATGGCTCTTCATTCATACTGTAAAAACTTGGTTACAGCTAACAAAGACAAAATTGCTTTAGAGAGAGTCCTATTTAAAACAGTATCAGGCCAGGCTCAGTGGCTCAGTCTGTAATCCCAGCACTTTGGGAGGCCGAGGTAAGTGGATTGCCAGAGCCCACGGGTTCAAGACCAGTCCAGGCAACTTGACGAGACTTCATCGCTACAATAAATAAATTTTTAAAAAATTAGTTGAGCATAGTAGCGCACATCTGTAGTTCTGGCTACTTGGAAGGCTGAGGCAGAAGGATTGCCGGAGCCCAGCAGATCAACTCTGGGGTGGCCGTGAGCATGCCACTACACTCCAACCTGAGTGATGGAGTGAGACTCCCACTCAAAAAAAAAAAACAAAACAGTATCAGATATTCTAAAATATTGCTGAATTGAGCTAGCATGTTTATCAGGAAGATAAGCTGCTATCTTCATGTTCAATAAAATGTGCTGAGTAGAGTGAAATCTCCATATAGGACAATCTTCAACCAAAGAAAGCACCAATGAAAATCTATTTGTGTTGTTTCTTTGATTCTATTTTATACATAACTCATTATGATATATATCTTAAGGTCTTTGGCATGTACACAGCTCTTTTTGCTGCTGGGGGAAGGAGCCACAAGTATTCTGAGAAGCCCATCCAATCTTTACCTTCCCATTTCATTAGACCCTGGTCTCTGACAGATTATTTCTGTTTCTTAAAGTTAAAGATAAATATGCAGCCGGGCACAGTGGCTCACACCTGTAATCCCAGCACTTTGGGAGGTGGAAGCAAGAGGATTGCCTGAGTCTAGAGGTTTGAGACCAGCCTGGGAAACTTGGCAAAGCTTCGTCTCTACAATAAATCAAAACATTAGCCGGGGGTGGTGGTGCACACCTGTGTTTCCAGCTACTTGGGAGGTTGAGGATGAGGAATCACCTGAGCCCAGCAAGTTGAGGTTGCAGGGGCCATGAGCGTGCCACTGCACTCCAGCCTGGGTGACAGAGAATCTCCTACTTAAAAAAAAAAAAAATTTAGCCAACTACTTTGTAATTCATCATCTCATAACTAGTTGTATCTATAATAAAAAAAAACCTAGACAAATCTAAATTATTCAAGTCACTGATAAGCATTTGTTTTGAGTGAATAATCATGAAATTATCATTTGAACATCATCTGAATTTGTTCTAGTTGTATTTGTGGAAAATTACTACCTTCTTGTGCAGGTAACATAGGAGACATTAACATAAGCCACAGAAGAATGTCACACCTTGGATTCTCACATTATGTTCAGTATCATAGTCTTAGCTCTGGGGTATAAATATAATCAGGACAGGATATTTTTAAAGGCAGTGGCTCATTTTCTCTTATTATTTCATTTTTCTTATCTTAGATGATAGAAATAAGGGGTTGCATGGGGTGGGGGTAGGTGGAAGGGAGGACCTTTAAAAAAGGTTGTAAGTAAATAGTGGTGCAGAAGTTAGGAACAGTGAAATGAGGAAGAGGGTTAGGTGCAGGGAGCAGGATTAAACCTAGTTGTGCCGTGGGGCCAGCAACAATTTTCAGCTCTAAGGCCCTGTCTTTTTTTTTTTTGTCAGAGTCTCTGTTGCCCAGGCTGGAGTGCAGTGGCAAAGTCATGGCTACTGCACCCTCAACCCGCTGGGCTCAGGCGATCCTTCCACCTCAGCCTTCCAAGTAGCTGAACTACAGGCACATGCCACCACTCCCTGCTAATTTTTTGACTTATTGTTGAGTCAGGTCATGCCTTACAGGCATGAGACATCATATCTGGCCTATTCGAATAACTCTTTTATGAAATGGAGTCTTTTTGTAGCATAATCAACTAATCAGAAATTTATATGTTTTTCTGAAAAATGAAATTTCTATGTAAAAATGTTTTTTAGGCAAGTTAAGATGTTGTATGGCCAGGTGCGGTGGCTCAGCCTGTAATCCCAGCACTTTGGGAGGCTGAGGCGAGAGGTGTCTGAGCCCCAAGGGTTCCAGACCAGCCTGGGCAACTTGGTGAGACCTGTCTCCACAATTAGTCATAAAAACTAACTGGGCATGGTGGCATGCGTCTGTAGTTCCACCTCATTGGAAGGCTGAGGCAGAAAGATTGCCCTAAGCTGAGTAGATCGAGGCTGCAGTGGCCGTGAGTGTGCTGCTGCATTCCAGCCTAGGCGACAAGAGTGAGACTCCAACTCAGCGCGCGCGTGCGCGCGCGCGCGCACACACACACACACACACACACACACACACACACACACAAACACAAAGATGTTGTATAGTCTTCAGTGATATTTAGTGTCTGAGCCCCTCTAGCTCAATTTCCATGTATGTAGAGATGGAATCACAGAGCATGTTGTCAAAATGTCTGCAGTTCTGATGAAGGCTCTTCCTAATGCTGATACTGAAAAGCAGAAAAATGCTGTGATTTACCAAATGATCACCACATATTTCTTTTTTTTTATTTTTAATTTATTTTTTGAGTTAGAGTCTCACTCTGTCGCCCAGACTAGAGTGCAGTGGCCGCTCCCGGCCACCACAGCCTCGACCTGCTGGGCTCCGGCGATCCTTCCGCCTCAGCCTTCCGAGTAGCCGGAATTACAGGCGCGTGCTACCATGCCGGGCTAATTTTTTGATATATTGTAGAGATGAGGTCTCACCTGCCCAGGTGGGTCTGATCACCACATATTTCATGCCTGTGTTGTATAGAAAGAAATACATGGGCAATCATAGATTGGTTTGACTTTATATTAGATATTTCTCTTAGTACTCTAGTCCAAGGTGAATATGTACATTTACTCTGATCTGTAGTAACTGATTGTAAAATAACCATTTCTGTAGTATTACTGATCCATCTTACAGTAATGATAAAAAAAATTCTTTCTTTGGTTAGCTTCTGGGCATTTCAGCAGGGGTTCATTGCAGACAAGTTAGAAATGGGCTTTTTCCATGTGTTCTTGTATTAAGCTTCCGTTCAGCTCAGCTAGATGGCTGCCTTGTATTCCCTTGTTCTTTCCCATTTCGTAGTTTGTGGAGAATGAGATTGTATGTTCTTCTAGGGTGATAAAGTTCTTGCATATTTTCATTTCACATTCACTTGACATATATGTACTGAGCAGCATCAGTGAACAAAGGCATAATTCTAGGTACTGAGGATACATCAGTGAACAAAGGAAGCAGATTCTCTCCCTCCAGGATCTGACATTCTGGTGTGTCCCAGGGCTGCTTGATAGGGTTTGGAGTAGGGGCAGATCCTGCAGGGCCTTGTTGGCCATTGTAATGACTAGACTTTCAGTCTGAGTGAAATGGGGCTACATTGCTGAGTTTTGAGCAGGGATGAGCCATGATCTGACAGTTTTTAAAGAATTACTTTGGTGCTTGCTGAGAGTAGACTAATAAGAGGGCAAGTAAGAAAGCAGAAGGTCCAGTATGAGCTTTACCTGTCATCCAGGTGAGAGATGATAATGGCTCAGATTAGGGTGTAAGCAGTAGGGATAGCGGAAAGTGGTTTGAAAGTAAAGTCAGGGCCAAGCGCAGTGGCTCATGCCTATAACCCCAGCACTTTGGGAGAATGAGGTGAGAGGACTGCCTGAGCCCACAGGCAACTTGGCAAGACCTCATCTCTACAGTAAATCAGAAAATTAGGCAGGCATGGTGGCGCATGCCTGGTAGTTCCAGCTACTTGGAAGGCTGAGGTAGAAGGAATTTCCTGAGCCTAGAGGTGGAGGCTGCAGTGACCATGAGCATGCCACTACCCTCCAGCCTGGGAGAGAGAGTGAGACTCCAACTCAAAAAAAAAGAAAGAAAGCAAAACCAGAAGTATGTCCTAATAGTGGATGAGAGAAAGAGAACAGACAGGATTAATTTTAATACAGCGGTCTAAGATGCATATGTGACACATTAGCAAGGAAAGTTGTCACCCTTGGGGCTAAGTGACAGGGGTTTTAATAAGTATTTGCTCCTTTTGAAGGTGAAAGGTATTGCAAGGACTGATAGACATGATACTCATGCTGCACATAAGGAAGTTGAAGAAGTTTATCTATATATTTATTATTTATCAAATTGACTTTACCCTATTCAAACAGGATTTTAGCATTTAGAGCAGGATCAGCAGCCATGGCCTATGAGCCAAATCCAGACCGCCACCTGTTTTTGTGAGTCAAGTGTTGAAACACAGCCATGCCCATTAGTTTTCATATTGTCTAATGCTGCTTTCATGCTACAACAGCAGAGTTGAGTAGTTGCGACAGAGACCGTGTGGTCCACAAAGCCTAAAATACCATCTGGCCATTTACAGAAAAGTTTGCCAACCCTATTCTAGAGGCACCTTCTGCAGAACAATTGGATTCTTCTTTAGTAGCATTTTTTCCCCTTTTCATTTCTTAGCCTCCTGACATTTCGGTCAGATTCTGAAAACACAACTTGTAGGTGTGTGGGTGTGTGTGTGCGTTTTACCACCTTCAATTCATGTATCCCCCATTCTTGCCAAAGACACAGGAAAGATTATGCATTTTCAAAATAGATTGTTATAGGTTCTTACGTTCTATCACAGCTGTCTATTTTATACTGTGACTGTTTTTAGCATTTCTGTCCTGTTTTGACACACAGACCTACTAAGGTCAAGTATACATGTCCAATTGTGTGATTTTGCATTTAGTTTCCTGTGACTGAGGAGTTTGTCTAATTATTAGTGAGGAATATGCAAATATATACATATACACACTCTAGAAAGTTTCTTATTAATAGTTTCATAGCTTAGTTATTAATGTATTCTATGAGCTTTTTACATGTCAGTTAAGTGCTTATATAATAATTACTAATAATAGAAGTAATCATTGTAATTAAAGTATAAGAGTTTTATTATATAACTTTCTTGGCTGGCCTCGTATATACAATTGAAATTCATGAATTAAAAGCAATGAGATGAACTACGGTCTGAATTACAGGAGAAATGACAATTTGATTATTTTCCATAGAGTAAATTTAAATATGTCTGTGAGAGTACTGAGGCCAGTTAATAGAGCTACACTTAGATTATATAATATCATATGAAAAAAGTTAATATATGATCAAATAATTAGCTGGGCTGAGAAATTAAAAGTAATGAAGTGAAGTGAAGAAATCTTAATTTTTGAAGTCTCTTTGAAATGAGAGTCTTAGCCAGGTGTTGTGTGTGACTGTAGTTCTAGCTACTCAGGAGACTGAGATGGAAGAATCACTTGAGTCAGGAGTTTGAGGTTACAGTGAGCTATGATCATGACATTGCACTCCAGCCTGGGGGACAATAATAAAAAATAAGTGACAACATATTATATTATATTTCCCTGTTTATGGGTGAGGCCATAAGATTATTTCTGGCATTTTCTTCGGTGATATATATGTCATATGTGTTCTATCTAAAGGATTATAAAATTCTGTGCTGCTTTGTTTTTGTAACTGCTTTATTGATACATAATTCACATACCTTACAATTAATCCATTTAAGGTGTACAAGTCGATGATTATTAGTATATTTAGAATTGTATAACCATCACCATAATCAACCTTAGAAGAACATTTATATTACTCCAAAAAGAAACCACATATCCTTTAGTTATCATCCCACAGTCCCTGTTTTCTCCCCAGCTCAAAGCAACCACTAAAACTATTTTCTGTTTCTTATGGATTTGCCTGTTCTAGACACTTTATCTCAATGAAATCATACGATACATTGTCTTTTTTTTTTTTTTTTTTTTTGAGTTGGAGTCTCACTCTGTCACCCAGATTGGAGTGCAGTGGCCACTCCG